CACCCCAAACCCCTCCCCCTCCCGAACCACCACCACCACCACCAGGGAAAGGTTCGTTTGCTGGGCTGGGCTGGGCACAAGGGAGGTTCCCAGCAGAGCTCCTGAGAACAGTGTGGAAGAACAGGTACCCTGGGAAGGTGCCTGTGTGCGGGCTAAGGAGGGGTCGCAGGGAGCTTACCAGGAGGGGCATGAAGCGTGGGGCTGCTAGACGCCGAGAGAAGAGGTGACAGCCTAGGATCCCCTGCACAAGGGCACGGGGGGGGGGGGGGGGGACGAAGGGGACGAAGGAGACGACGGGGTCCTACACCAGTGTTTCTCAACCAGGGCCATGAAGCTCCCTGGGGCTCCCCAGGATATTCTAGCGGGTAGCGGGGGGGGGGGGGGGGGGAGGGTCCATAGGAAAAATTTGGGTAACGGGACATGGGGGTGGGGGTGCAGGGCAGGAGTCTCGGGGCCCCAGCAGGTAGGAGCACGGGAAGGAAACCAGGTGCGAGGGGCCCTCCGTGCGGAGCGCCGCGCGCGGGGGCCGTGCGGGGCGTGCCTTGTGCAGCGGCGCGTCTTCATTGTGCAGCCGGGGCTGGAACCGTGGCTCGGGGCGCGGGTGAGAGGCGCGTGCGGGCGCGCGGTCGGCGGGGCTGCGGCTCCCGGGTGGGGAGGCGCGCGGGCCGGGGGGCGCCGGTGGGGGGCGGGGGCGCGCACGTGTGCGGGGCGGCAGCGGGACCCCGCGAGACCGGGCAGGATAGGGACCTGGGGGATGGGGTGCGGGGCGTGGGGGGGGGGGTCCCGCGAGCGCGTGCGCGCCCGGATGGTGCGCGTGAGCGCCCGTGCGCGCGCGCGCGCCCCTCGCCTGGGCTGTCGCTATGGAAACGCGCCGCGGCCCGAGTTCATCATTTCCTGTGGAAAGTGTGCGGGAGGGGCGGGCGCGGGGCGGGCCGAGCCGGCAGCGGGTGGCGGGGAGCTGCCTCCCGCCGGCGGGCCGGGCCGGGCCGAGCCCCGAGCGCCGCGGCGACGCGGGGACCCTGCCTCCGCCAGGCCGGTGAGTCCGGGGGGTCCGTCGGCCGGGCGGGCCGGGGGAGGGGGAGGGGGGGCGCCCCGTGGACGCCTCCACCCTCCGCGCCCTCCAGCGCCAGCCGAAAACATCTGGCCCCGAGATGGGCGTGCATGGGGGGCGGGGGCGGGGGTGGGGCGGAGCTCGTCCTGCCCCCCCCTCCTCCGGGCAGGGGGATCAGCCCTGAGACCCCCTTTCATCTGCCCGACCGCTGCCTGCCGGCCCTGCGCCGCCCCCTCCCCATGCAGGGGGGTCCCCGCCTGGTTGCAGTTGCAGCCTCGCTCCACGCTCCAGTCTGGCCCCCCTCTCCCCCCCCCCCCCCCCCCGGCTGTTGGCTGTCCCCTCGCGGGCCGGCGTTGGGGTGAACCGCCAGCCTAAACGAGGTGGGGTCGTGGGGGGGCGGGGAAAGGCCCAGGCCCACGCGCGCCGGGACCGCCGCCGTTGGCAAGCCGCCGCCGCTGACAGCTGCAGCCCGGGGGCCGGCGTGGGGGTGGGGTCCCAGCTGGGCGGGTGAGCCCCGCGGCCGCCCTCCGCAGCAGCCCCGGTGGTGAGTTAGCGCAGAACAACTCCGGCGCAGCCAAAGAAGGGCCTGGAAGATTTTGCAGAGGAAGCCTGTGTTTCAAATCTGGAGTGCATTTTTTTTGCCGCCTCTCCCACTGGCGCAGGCACATCTGTCGCAAGGTGGTGGTGGTTGTGTGTGTGTGTGTGTGTGTGTGTGTGTGTGTTGGGGTGGGGGGCTTTCCCCTTTCCTGGCTTTCTCACTGTTCCAGAGAGGGGGCGGGGCACCCCTCCTTGTCCAGTGCATTCCCCATGTCCTTGGCCTGGAGAGTCATCTGCAAGGAATGCAGCCACCCAACGGCCTGCCTCTGCAGCATGTCAGGGCCGCATGGGGATGTGCTCCGGGGAGCAGGGGGTTAAACCCAGTGACCCTGGAAGTCCCAGAAAGTGTCAGTCTCAGCAGGGGAGCACCCAGTCGGGATCCCTCCCAGGGGCACCCCCTACACATACACACACCTTCTGCCCACTCACCCAGGGAGCCCTCTGTGGGCAGTTGTGGAGTTTCTTGTTATTGCAGGGGGCAGGAGGCATGCTGGCCCCTAGCCAGTCCCCCCTTCCTGCACCAACCCCTCAATCTTCACCTTCCACTGGAGAGGCAGAGGATGGTGCTGGTGGTATGTGTGTGTTTGTGTGTGTGTGTGAGTGTGGGGGGTGGTTCTTTGTAGGATCCACTCCTGGGAGCGCTTCCTATACAGGTGACTCTCCCTGTCTGCTCCTTTGGTGGAGCTGCTCCCATTTTATAGAGGGAGAAGATGAGGCCCAGAGAGGCCAGCCGCTTGGTAACTGCACAGCCGTGGGGGGGTCTGTGCCCACTCTTGGTGTGGCAGACCCAGGAGGCTGGGAGAAGGCCCTGCCCCTGCCTCTGGCTGGCTTTGGCATCCTGACCCTTCACGCCTGGGCTTCGGACTGTCCTTGTTACTTTTGACCTTCATGCCCTCCGGTTGCTAAACTGAGCTGCTTTTTCCTCTTTCGGGATCTCGCACACGCCCTTCCTCTTTCTTCCTTGTTATCTTCCTGGCTGCCTCCCCCGGTTCCCTACCCTTCTGACTCCTCCAGAGCCCAGGGCAGGCCTGGGCCCTCTCCTGTGGCTTCCCGACTCGCTCAGTGGGCAGCGCTCCTGCGGCTGGGTGATGTGCCGGGCTCTGGTGCCCAAGGGGGTGTGTAGCCGCCCCCTGATGCCTTTCAGCGCCATGTGGGCATCCCGTGGGTTTCCTCCCGCATAGGGGATCAGCCTCCGCCCGGCCTTCCGCCCACAGCCCTGCCTCTTCTCTCTCCAAGACCTCTTTCTCCCGGCCGGCCGGGGAAGGCAGAGGCCAAACTGCAAGCCAGGAGCCTGGCTCTGTCCCAGGGCTCAGCTGTGCCAACCTGTCTTAGGCCGCCCATCCCTGCCCTTGTCCTCTCTGCTGCCCCTTGGCCCACCCAGCATCGGCAGATGGCGAATTTTCTAGAAACCACAGCCCTTCCTCCCCGTCCTGGCCTGACTTCCCCAAAGGGAAGGAAGTGACTAGCTTCCACTGCCCCCCCTTCCCCCGCCCGCCTTGGTCCTTCCAAGGTCCGACTTTCTCTTTAAAGAGAAAACATCCCTAGACACACACACACACACACACACACACACACACACACACACACACACACTTTCTTCCTGCTTTCTTCTGGGGCTGACTTCTCTCTCTGGGGTCACTGACCAGCCTAGCTAAGGTGGACTTTCCCACCCCAACCTGCCTCCTGCTCCCTCTTCTCTGACCTTTGGTGATTGCATCCTCACCTGTGCTGTCAATGACCTTTGGCCTCCAGCCTGGAGGCTCCCTCCCCCTCCCCCGCTCTCCAGCTTCACTCCCAGCAGTTGCTCTCGGGCCGGTCACCCGAGCCAGCCAGGGCAGAGCTGGCCTGGGGACCACAGTGGAGGGCGCTGTGGAGGGTGCTGCAGCTGCAGGCTGGGTGTCAAGAAGATTCGAGAGAGCAGAGGGGCCGGGAAACACGGGTCTGCAGCCCAGGGAGCACTGTGAGGACGGCCCTCGGTGCATCCAACTCCATTCTACCTTATTTTTCTTTATTTTGTGTGTGTGTGGGGGGGCACATCTGACGGTACCAAGAAAGGGTACAATAAGCAGTGGGTGCTGGGGATTGAACCCAGAGCTTGGCTTGTGCAAGGCACGACACACACACACACACACACACACACACACACACACACACACACTCCCGGTTCCTCCAAGTCCATTTTAAGGCAGGAACCAACTCCCCACTGCCTCTGAGCCGACTTCTGTCAAAGGCACCACTGTTCAGAGTCTGCGTCTGGGACGGAAGCTTGGTCACCTTAAACGCCCCCTAGGCTGCCTGGCACGCAGTACGCGCTCAATAAAGTCTCGGGAAGTGCTTGTTTGGAGTTTGCTCTGTGCATTTGCTCCATTCCGCAGGGACCTACCTAGAGGGTTTTCCAAGCAGAGCTCGCCCCATCCCCCAGACCCCCAACCCCCACACCACCTGGCGTACCTCCTGTCCTCATTGGAAGGCCGAGGATGAGAGCGTTTCTCGCCCAGCACAGAGCTCTCTCTCTGAGACCACAATTCTGATGATCAAAGAGGACCCCTGACACGTGACTGGCACACAGCAGGGCGCTGGATAAATAGTGATTAAATAAAGAACGAGCCGCTCCTTGGCTGGCAGCGCCCAGCAGGGGGCCCGCCACGTTGCCAACTCCGTGGAGGCGAGTCGAATCCCTGAACGAGCTGACCTTCCGGAGGGTGACCGGGCAGGCAGCTAACGCGCGTCCCAGGCAGGGTCCAGGCCCCTCGGGGTCAAATGTTAATATTCTGAGCCCCTGGCAGGCGCAGAGGAGCCTGGGTCTGAGGGCCGAGGCTCACCGTGCCTGAGTGCTGGGAGCCAGGTGATCTTGGGATGGCGTTCAGAGATGCCTCCACCCAGCTTCTGGGACCCGGTCTGATGCCCCCTGAGGCTGGGATGGTTGGGTCTACACCCGGTACAACACCTGTCTGCAGCCCTCTGCCCTCTGCTGGAATAAACCCTGGGAAATGAGGCAGGAGAGGAATGAGCTGTGTTCTCCCAAGCCTGGTGCCAGGGAGCCAAGGGTGAAACCGGGGTGAACCTAGGAATGCCCAAAAGTGTGAGTCTCAGCAGGAGCGCCGCCAACCTGACCCCAAACCCCTCCACACCCGCCCACCCCCCGCCCCCCACGACCCCCTGCCCATTCTCCTCTCCAGACCCCATGTCCACCCGTCTGTGTCATTGCACCGGGGACTAATACTTCGTGTAACTGGGGACCGACGGGGTGGCCAGTCGCTGCGGACCCTTCCAGGAGGTGGGCTTGGGGTCTGGGCGCGCGGGTCCATCTCACCTGGCTCTCCCCTCCCCGCCCCCTCTGATCTCTCCGCAGGCTGCCCGGCGCCCCAACGACGGAGCTGCTGCGCCCCGGGCCATGGTGCCGTCGCGCAGGACGTGGACCCTGGGAGCCACGCCCTCGCTGCGCGGCCTGTGGACAGTGGGCCGGGCCGGGGAGCCCGCGCCGGGCATGGCTCGCCCCGCCCCAGCCGGCCCGGCTGCCCGCCCTTTCCCACACAACGGCCCGGGGAGGTTGAGAACTGGTGAGTCCGCATTTTTAAAATGCCTCCCCGCGCGCTGCCTTCCTGCCGCCCCGTGCCCGCCCCGAGACCCGGCTTGCGCGCGGGTGCCTAGGCTCGGCCGGCCGGGCGCTGTCAGGTAATTACAGGGCGCGCGTGGGGGGCGTGGACGGCAGGGCCAGGGGGCCGGGCGTCCAGCTCGGGCGGTGGGGGAGCCCCTGCCGCGCGCCCCGGAGAGGAGACGCGAGCGCCCGGCCCGCGCGGCTGCGTCCCCCCGCGCGCGCGCGCGCTCTCTCGGGCAACCCCCGCGCGCCGCCGCCACCGGGGTCCCCCGCGCCCCCCGTCCCGTAAGCCAGGTAGGTGGAGTGGCCGCCCCGGCCAGCCCAGCCGGCGGCCCGCGACCGGCCTGGCCACCGCCGGGCCACCGCCGGGCCGTCGCTGGCTGCCGCGGTGGCCCTGGAGGCGTGGACCCGAGGCTCCCAGGGCGCGCGGGCTGGAGGGAGTTTGGGTGCCAGGGCGGCTTCTGGGGCGCCCCGAGTCCGCCGGCGGCAGGTGGGCAGTGGAGGGCCGGTGAGGGAGTCCCAAGGCTGGGCTGGGCTGCTCCCCAGAGCTGTCAACTCCAGGCTCTCCTTTCTGGGTCATGTCCCCTGATGCCTCCGGAGGCCACGAGTGTGAGGACTGCAGTGTCCCCGCGTCCAACTGCCCAAGGCTGTGCCCCAGCTCCCCGTGGGCAGGTCCTGGGAGGTCTGGGGCACCAAGTGATCTCTGCTACTCCCGACCTACCTTCCGAACTGAGTGGAAGGGCTTAGACTGGGCTGTCAGCACTGGCAGACACCCTGGGGGAGGGGGGGTGCTGTCAGCTCCCAGCGCCTGTAGGGGACACGCGGAGGCGCAGAGGGGACTCTGGCATCTCCTGTTGGCCCCCCCCCCCCACCTCCCAGCCGGTGCTGCCTCTCCGCATCCCAACCCCTGTCACCTTCAGGTCTCCCTAAGAGACTGGCTGGATTCCGACCCCGGGTGCCTCCAGAAAAAAGCTTGGACTTTGGGGTCCCATCACCCTGGTTTTCTGGAAGGGGGAGGTGGAGTGGCTGCTCTGGTAGGTGTTCTCTGCCCCCCCCCCCCCCCCCGCCCCGTTGTTGTTCTAAGGGTGACAGGTTTAGTATGAATGGCTGTTGCTTTCCTGGTTAACAAAACCAAAGAAAAGAAGCAAAAACGTATCTCTTTGTAAAACTGAAATCTCCCACCAGCTTGTCACTGACTGATTGTTTTATTATTTGGAGGTGGGGGCTTGGGGCCCCATAAGGGCTGTCAGGGACACTCCTGATGGTGCGGGGGAACCATAGGGGGTCGCCAGGGCTTGAATTGGGGTCAGCTGAGGGCAAGGCAAGCGCCTTAACCCCCGCGCCCCCCCCTCCCCCGTCGGGGGCCCTGTCAATGGACTTGGGAGATAGCGCCTCCCAGTCTGGGGGGGGGGGGCGGGTGTCTGTTGGATAAGAATTATGAGGACTATAGAACTCTAGTTTGTTTGTTTGTTTGTGTTTGTTTTGGGAGTCAGAGGACCACATTTCTCTGTTTTTTTGTTTTTGGGGACTTGAGGATTGTTGTTTGATTGGTTTGTTTTTGTTTGGGGGCCACACCCAGCAGTGCTCGGGGCTTACTCCGAGCTCTGTGCTCAGGAATCACTCCTGGCAGTCTCTGGGGGCTGTATGGGCTACCAGGGATGATCGTTCAGACAGCTGGGCCATCTCTCTGCTCTGCCCCCCACCCCACCCCCGATTTTTATCCACCTGTGACCTGTGAGGTATAGGCCGGATGAAATCCTCAGGGTGGAGTAGTGAGTGCCGGGTCTGCTATGAAGAGGCCTCAGCCGGCTGGGTGCCCCCAGGGCCCCCTCTGCCCTCCCCCCTTACCCCCCCCCTTGCTTCCTGTTGTCTGCAAAGGAGCTAAGAGGAAGAGGGAGCACTTGCAGCTGGAGTCGTGGCCCTTGGGAAGCCCAGGCGTGTTGCTGTCTGTCTGGGTCGGCCGCCCCTGTCTGAGGGCCGGCCCAGAGCTGAGGACAGCGGGTGGGGTCAGCGGCCACTTCCTGAGTGCTGGCCCCGCGTGAGCAGCTCGTGTGTGTCCCCTCCACATGGCCCTGTGAGCTTGGCTCCACAGTCCCATTTCATGGACCAGGAAACTGAGGGTCGAGGTTCCAGAAGAGCTCGGGCCGCAGCGGGCACTCAGGACATCATACCTCCTTGGGCAGCAGCCCTGCAGCTGGCCCCGTGAGGGTCATCCCTGCTCTCAGGGCGGGGGTGGGGGGTGGGCAGGGGAGTCTGTGCTCAGCCCCTCAGTGCTCTGTGTTGTCTCAGGGCCCGACACTTGAGCCTGTGCTGACGGTGAGGCCATGAGGGCCAGGGCCGGGGAGAAATTGCCACCTAGAGGCAGGCAGGGTAATGGAGATGGGGTGCAGCGCCTCTGAAGATTAGTGCCGGCCAGTGGGGTGCGGTTGCTGCTGTCTGTCTGTCGCGGGAACTCACCAGCACATTAGCGGTTTCCCCCCAAAATAAACGCTGGACGGAGGGGAGCCCCCTGGCTGAGTGTCAGTGCCTTAGAAAGAGAGTCTTGGGGTAAGGAGGAAGCCCGGCCTGTGTGTCTGTGTTTGGGGGTTCAGGGGCCAGGCCTGCGGGCCTCCCCTCCGCAGAAAGCAGGCATGTGGGGGCCTGGCTTAGGGGTCACACCTGTCTCTCTTCCCGGGACAGGGCGTGGAAAGGACACCTCGGCTAGCGGCGGGGACGAAGACTCGGGGCCCCGAGGGGCAGCTCGCCCAGCCCTTGCCCACTGCCGGGCCCTCAGCGTGGACTGGGCCGGCTCCGGGAGCCCCCACAGACTCTACCTGACCGTGCAGGTAAGCACCAGGGCCTCCCGGAACTCGAGGGCTTGGCCCGCCCTCCCCCTCTCCCCCGCACCCCATTAGCCTAGTGTCCCCCACGGACTTCCCCAGGGGGCGGAAGTTGCGCAGAGAACCGGGGCCCTGCCTCACGCCTCTTTGCCAAGCTCCCCGGAGCAGAATTGCTCCACTGGGCCCCCGGGAGCTTGTCGCAGTGGATGGAGCAATTTGCTTTATTAAGTTATCGGGGCGGGGATCTCCCGGGAGATGACAGGTGCCTGCCGCGCCCGGGCCGTCCCGTGAGACCGGGGCTCTCACCGGGAGGCAAAATCCAGACCGGTTTCAGGGCAGCCGTGGCGCGTCCCCCACGGGCCCACGCCACCCTCGCCTTCCTGCACTGCGCCTCTCAGCGCAAATCCAAGGCCGGCCAGGCAGAACTTTTGGGGCCTTGAAAAAAATCCCAGGTGATTTTCGGAAGTCATCAAGACCGCCGCTCCTCTGGGCCTCTGTTGGGTGGTGGATGGAGAACGGTGGAAGGGGTCTCAGCCACGATCCGCTGACCGCAGGCTTTGGGCCAGGCAGGCTGGGGGCCCCCCATGTCCCATCTCCCACCTCACTGCTCGCCGTCCTGACGCCTCTTGGGACAGTGACTGTCCCATCCAAGTTCTCTGGACTCAGAGAGGCCCGGGAGCTGGCTGAAGGCCACAGAGTGAGCCGGTGGTCTCAGCTGGGAAATCTGAGACGTGGTAGAGAGCTCACAGAGCAGGTGTGGCAAGCCCCCTGGGGGGAACCCATCTGTGAGAGAGCTCAGAGAGGGGTAGATCCTGGCCCTTCCCACCCCACTTCATGGTGTTGACAGTTTATTTTTAGCCTCTGTCCCTCCTGATGGACAGTAAATTGGCGGGGGGGGGGGTTGGGGGGGTCCCCCACGCGCGTGGCCGTGGACGAGAACCATCTCGTCACCTCGAACGGCCGCGTGGTACTCTGCTCAGGCTTCCCCGCCAGATCCCACCTGGTCCCCCGCGTTCTCTGGGAATCCAGGGAGCCCCAACAGATCGCTGCGCTCATACTGTGGGTTGGCGTCCGCTCAGGAGAGCGCTGGCTCTGCACCTTCGTCACGGCTCTGAAGGGTGTCCTGGGAAGGAAAGGGATCGGACAGGAGGGGTTGAAGGGTCACAGGTATCGGGGTGCACATTGGGGCATATGGGGGCAAGCGTGGCAGAAATTGGAGGGTCAGGATTACCTGGGGGGGTGTTGCCATTCCCCCCATCCAACCCCCCAAGATGGCATGGGAGTTGGCCCCCCCTTAAAGGGGTCGCATTTCCTTGCTGGCAGAGGAAAACCTGGACAGACGGGGTGACCCGTGGCCCTGAGTCCTGATCTGAGCGTGGCCCATTCTGCTGTTGCTCCGGGGACAGTCCTGGCAGCTCGGGGTTGGTCTCGGCCCTTCTTGTGTGGCTCCGTTGCAGCCAGAACCAGACGTTCCCTCCTCCCTTTCATCTCTTCGCGAGGCCTGCGAGGCTGGAGCATACAGGGTTAAAGAAACCGAGGGTTTTTTTTTTTTCCCCTGACTCTGCACTGGTGGTTAAATGTAGAGTTGGTCGGAACCCTGCACTGGGCTGGGCGGGCGTCTTCAGCTCAGGGTCTGGACTTGATTGAGGGTGTTGCTGGGCTGCGGTTGCAGCCAAGTGCCCGGCTCAGCAGATCTGAGTCGCCCCTGCCTGCATCCAACCTTCCCTGTCTGAGTCCTTCTGGTCCCCCCCCCCCACCCCCCCAGGCAGCACCATTGTGGTTTTTTTGGGTGCTTTGAGGATTGAGGGGAGGGACCCAAGGAAGAGGGACCTGAAACAGTGAGTGACAAGTGGCTTTCGACACCCTCCTCCCCGCTCCTCCACTGAAGTCCAGGATGTCCCAGAAGCCAGCAGGGGCAGAAATTCCCAGCCCCCTGGGGCCCGTCTGCCCTTCCTGTGGCTTGGCCAGGAATAGTGTAAACTTTGCCCTGGCCCGGCCAGTGGAAACTTCCAGCGGCCACTGTCACGGTACCACCACTGAGCGGCCTGCGCTTGTGACGGAGTGTGTGGTGGCAGCCGTGGAAGGGCGGGGACAGAAATCTGGTTGGCAGGAATGTTCCCTGAGTGTGAAAGCCTGCTCACACACAGAGACCTTCCCTCCCTTCTCAAGTCGAAGCAGGTCCCGAGGTGCACTGTGACCAGCTAGGAATCGAACCCACACTCGAGGCCGATGCTCCACCGCTGAGCCACACCTCTGGCTCTCTCCTGATGTTGTTGTTGTTGTTGTTGCATGGAAGATTCTAGAAATAATCCAGCACCCCTGACTGCTTGCGGTAGAGTGTCTGCCATGTGCCAGACGCCGTCTGGGACCTGGAGAGGTTGCGGTTGCCGAGCTCTGTAGCAGCTGCTCGCAGGGGCGGCTCTTGGCCTTCCTGCTTCCAGATGAGGACAGTGACGCTTCCAGAGGGACAGGACCCTGCCCACCTTCGCGCGGGTCCCCGGGAGGGTCAGCGGCGTGAGAGCCTGGCAGAGCCAGGGGGGCACCTGGCCCACTCCAGCTCCAGACCCAGGCCAGTCTTTCCAGCGTAGCCCTTGTCCTCGTGTGTTGAATACGGCCGCACGGCCACAGGGATATACAAGAATTTGGCCTCTCCTCTCGACCCCAGCTCACTTCCCTTTGAATTTAAGATCAGAACGTGGGGGCTGGGGGCCATAGTACGGCGGGGAGGGCGCTTGCATGTTTTGCACATGGCCGACCCAGGTGCGATCCTGGGCATCCCAGTATGGTTCCCCCCCAAACACTGCCAGGAGTGATCGCTGAGCACTGAGCCAGGAGTCACCCCTCAGCATTGCCAGCTGTAACCCCCCCCCAAAAAAAAAAGAAAAACCTGGGGCTGGAGCAATAGCACAGCGGGTAAGACCTTTGCCTTGCACACAGCCAACCCGGGTTCGATTCCCAGCATCCCATATGGTCTCCTGAGCACCGCCAGGGATGATTCCTGAGTGCACAGCCAGGAGTAACCCCTGTGCATCGCCGGGTGTGACCCAAAAAGCAAAAAAAAAAAAAAAAAAAAAAAAAAAAGAAAAACCTAATAAGTACGTAAATGAAACCAGAACGCCGAAAAGCTTTGCACAATGACAGACCTAACACTGGAATGGTTCAAAGTGGAATATAGACCCCCCCCCCACACACACACCCCTCCCCATTCCCTTCTCAATCCCCGATTCTGGCTTCGTTCATCCCTGCAGCCCCTGAGGGCAGGGCCTCTCTCCCTGCCACCACACCACCCCCCACCTCCCAGAGAGCCAGTCCAGGGCTTAGATCTTCCTCCCCGAGGCCCCGTTTCACTTCTCACATCCTGTGTGAGCTGCAGGTGATTTCTCCAGTGAGAGCGTGTTTCCCCCCTCAGCCCCCCCACTCGTGGCTGGTGACCCGTCCTGAGGCCTTTGCTCTTCTTCCAGGAGACAGGGGTGGAGGATAGGGGGGTGGGCCAGGACCAGGCCCTCTCTGGCTGGACCTGTGAGCGTCCTCTTCGACGGCGGGGCTGGTGGCCAGTGGAGAGGGCCGCCGGCCATCCCAGGAAGCAGCCCCTCAGACGTTGTATGTGTGTCCAGCCTAGCTGGACAGGCCCGTGGAGGCCGCTGTGCCCTCAGGACAGCCCAGGAACCTTCCTCACAGCTCACTGGCCCTGTCGTCCAGCAGGACCTGAGCCTTCTGCTGTCCCGCCCCCAGACCTACGGGCCCCTGGGGGACCCTCACCAGCCCCCGCCCTGGCTTCCCCTCCCCCCGCCCCACCCCGGCCTCTGCAGCCCCCTTCACTGAGGATTCTGGTTGTGTCTTGGCAGCAGGCCCTGCGGGACAAGGGGTGCGAGAGCAAGAGTCAGGGGCCGAGAGAAGAGAAGGTCCCGAAGAAGCCGGCGCCAGCCGCCAGGCGGGACCGGGACACCCCGGAAGCTGGTGGTGCCATGAATGTAGAGAAAACAGGTAACGGGGGTTCCCACCGGCCACCCCCCCCCACTCAGGCGCCCAAGGGGGACTTGGTGGTGACTGAGCTGTCACTGCTGTGGTCCTCCTCCAGAGGGGACAGAGAGACCCCAGCTGGTCCCCGTTCCGGTGACTCCCTTCTTCTGCTCTGAGAAGAGGCTTTTTAGGCCGGCAGGGGCTGGGCTTGAATTTCCTGACTTTTTTTTGTCTTTTCCCAGTGCCTGGCAGGGGTGGCAGCCTCAAAGACGCCAGCGGGACCCCCCCCCCCACACCCCACCAGAGCTCTGTGAGCTCCAGGCCATAGCCCTGAGCTCCCTCTCCTGTCTCCTGCCCCGACCCAGAAGGGGAGTTGCCTAGGGCTCTATTCCCTCACTAGGCCAGGCCCACTGGTTCTGGAAAATTCACCCGGTGGTAATCAGGGGTGACTCCTGGCTCTGTGCTCAGGGATCACTCTTGGCGGAGCTCAGGGGACCATATGGAGTGTTGGGTGTTGAACCCAGGCCGGTCGCATGCAAGGCAAGCGCCCTCCTTGCTGTACTATCACTCCAGGACCGTGGTTCTGGAAGATGCTATGGGACCTTCTCTATGGGGCTCCTCAGGGTGGGGAACCTGAGCCCAGGTGTCACTGGGAGAGACGGTGGAGGAACCCAGGAGTGTGCCCTCCTTCCCACTCTGCGTCTAACTGGCCCTGGGCGGTAGACCTGGAGGCAGGAGGAAGGGGCTGTCCCCAGGGCCTTGTCCACTGCCCCTCCAGCTCTCATTACTAAGAGGACAAAGGCCAGTTCCCTTTAAGACTGAGGCCTGAGAGTCCCTGGGTGCCATCAGGGACCCCATGCTGCTCACTGTTCAACCTGCTCTGACCTCCTTGTCCCCGCCTTCTCCGCTGACCTCTCCAGGCCACAGCCAGCTCTGTCCAGCGGTGCCTCACCGTGCTGACGTCAGCAGGAGCCCCTCAGGGTACAGGTGCTGAGGGCCTCCAGAACCTTCTGCAGGATGAGCTGTTTCCCTGCAGGGCTGGAAGGGCTGTTCCTTGGCTCGTTTTCAACCCAGGAGCTCACACACACACATGCACACACATGCATGGACACGCATGCACACGTATGCACACACACACACAGGCACACGCATGTGCACACACTCACCTACACACTTGCGCTCACATGTACTCATGCACACATATGCACACACATACACACACGACATGCAGGCACATGCACACACACGCCGACACACATGCACTCACATGTACTCACGCACATGCACACGCATACACACGCACACGCGTGCTCACACATGCACACACACATGCACTCACACGCACACATACCCATGGATTTCTCGCAGGTTCTAGGCCTCTTGCCCAAGATTAGAGCGGAGCGAGGACCCTTGACCCATTTCACGCAGGAAGACCCTGAGGGGACCCTCCCCCATGTCTGAGCGGCAGAGCCAGCTCCTGGGCATGGAGCCCGGAAGGTCCTTAGCAAGCGTGGCTGTCTGCAGAGGGCCACCGCTCTGGTCCCCTGGCAGCTGCAGGTGTGGAAGCCTCCCTCTGACCTCAGGGGCTCTAGAGCAGAGAGCAGCAGCGTGTCGGGTCATGCACACAGCCACACGTAGCCCGCAGGGACGGGACACGGCTCGGCCCTGCAGAGGGGCTGGCCGGCCCGTGGTGGCTCGGGACCCAGCACCTCACTGTGCATCTGGGAGCTCTGCCGACTGCCCTCACCGCCCCACCTTGCAGCCCGGCCCCTCCACCACTGCCTCCTGGATCCTGGGGGCTGGGCGGGGGTGCAGCTTCCCGCAGGGCTGCCACCTCCTTCAGAGTCCAGATGCCCTCCAGGCTGCACCCGCATGGGGCCCAGCTCCACAGGGACCCCGAGGCAGAGCGGGGGAGGCCTCCGGTCAGCAGAGGCCGATCAGACATCTGGTTTGGCCAGGACCCAGATTGGGCAGCCTGGGGCAGAGGGAAGGACCTTGTCTGTGCACCCTCTTCCCCCCCCCCCACTCCTGGCCGGCCCCTCCTCAGAGACCCCCGGGACGTTCCTTCTCGGGCATCCCAGGCCCATTCACAGGGCAGGGCGCAGGCCTTGAGTTGGGGTCTTCGTCCATCCACCCATCTGTTGCCTCTGGCTTACTCCTGGTGACCCCTTGCTCCTTCCTCCTGCCCGGACTACACCCCCCTCCTGCCCGGACTACACCCCTCCTGGGCTGTTCTGCCAAGGGCAGCCCTCGCTTCCCCCGCCGTGCTCTCTCTGTCACCGCATCCCTGTCCATCTGTCCCTTTGCACACGCACATGCTCCCTGGGCTCTGCCTCTCGTGCTGGGTGCAGGCCGGGGAGCAGGCCAGGACCCTCCTCCTTTCCTCTGGACTCCAAGAGGGTCTGAGGAAGGAAGATACCGAGGTCCCCTTTCTGGGCTGGGGAGGTCCTCTGGGTTAAGGCGCAAGCCTAGTGCACAGCCGACCCCAGTCTGATTTACACCCTGGCACCACATGGTCCGCTGAGCTCTGCCAGCTGCAGCCCGGGGTCCCCAGGAGCACCCCAGGGTGTGGCCCGGCAGTGGGAGTGAACCCAATACTGGCGTGGTTGGCCGAAAATTGCTGGACGGGATTCCAGGAACCCCTGAACACTGCTTGGGAGCTCCTGCCCCTCAAAAAGAAGGTGTAGGGGGGCTTTAAGCGCCCCCCCAAGGAGAGTCTTCTGACTCCTCAGCCATGGGCAGAGGCCTATCTATTGGCTTGGGGGTCTCTCCTATCATAGGTCCCCGGGAGCATGCAGCTCAGAGTCCAGATCCGGCCTCTCCCCGGCCCCAGACACCCCCCCCAACACACATACACACACACCCACGCGCGCGCGCGCACACACACACACACACACACACACCCCAAGTGGCTTCCTCCGAGGTAGCCCCCAGAGGCGCCCGGCTCGCCCCTGGCCCCAGCCGCCCCACTGCCCACCCCGCCCCGCCACCCAGGGTAGAAACGCGGCTGCTCCCTGACTGGCCCCTCCTCTGCCCGCAGGTGGGAGGCTCTTTGGCAGCGGGCGGTGCGCCAACCTGTCGGGGTCACCCCGGGCAGCCCCCGTGGTGCACAGGATGGTGGAGGCCATGGCCCAGCTGCAGGAGGAGAAGGCCCGGCTGCAGGACGAGCTGGCAGCCCTGCGGGACCCTGACCAGCAGGCCACAGCCACCCAGCTGCAGAGCCAGGTACCAGGGTGGGGGCTCTGCAGGCCACGAGGCCCCAGGCAGAGGGAGAGGTAGGCGCCTGCCCTCATCCCGCCCTGTCACTTAGCACACGTGACCTCGAGGGGACGGGGGAGGGGGATGGTCAGCCAATGCCGTGCTCTCTGCTCTGAGGTGGGTGCTGGCTCCTCACCCTCTTCCCCCCTGGTAGACTAACCTGACCCCTTCACAGAGGCCACCTACCCACCCACCCCCTCCCGGAGTGAGTGAAGGGAACGCTCATACCCCTCACGGCCAGGAGGACACGTGAGGGCCCGTGTGACGCTGAAACCCCCCGGCCTGGCCTTGTAGGGTCTCCTCGCTCCCTGCTGGGCTCAGCGTCTGTGTCTCCCCTGGGCCTGCCCCACCCAAAGGTCCCCATGTGGGATTCGGGCCTTGGACACCACCCGGAGCCTGCCTGGTGCATGGGTCTCTGGCTCTGGGGAGCCTGTGGTTTGGACACTGTGTCACTCCCTGTGATGCTCCGGGGAACTGTGTGGTCTTGGGAATGGAGCCCAGGTCCTTGGAGTGCAAAACCATCACCAGCCTGCTGTGCTTCTCCCCGTCCAAAGCAGGCTCCCTTCCATCAGCCAGAGTCAGCCGCTGAGGCAGGAAGGTGAAAGTGCGCACCCCTCTCCCAACACCACCATTCCCTGCCCTGCCCGCCCCTCCCCCACCCCCACGCCACACACACACCTGGTTTCCTGGTCCTTGCTGGTGGACTTCCGGCTGCTTAGATCTTCCCCAAGTGTGTCTGTGGGGCTGAGCCCAAAGCTCTCCCCCGCACCTGCCCCAGTCCGGTGAGTGCAGCCCTGAGTGGGTGTTGTGGGGGTGAGACCCTCACTCTGGCCCCACTCGGGCTGGGGGACCTGGGGCTGGCCAGTGGCCCCACTGCCCCTTGCCGCGCCCTGCTGCATCCTGTAGGAGGGACAAGATGCCCATCTCTGAGTGGGGTCTGTGTTCGGGTCTGGGCTCCCGGAGCAGTGCCCTGTGCCCGCCATGCTGCCCCCACCGCAGGGGGTCTCAGCGCAGAGCCTTCATCCTGGGGTCTTCCCGGGAGCAGATGGGACACGGGGCGTGGTGCCTCTCCAGGGGTCAGGCTCACCTGTCAGGCTGTTCTGGGGGGGCACCTCACCCGGTGGGACACACCCACCTTCCTCCCGGGGGGCTCTGCTGCTTCTGGGATGGAGCATGGCTGAGCTGTGAGGGGTGAGGGCAATGAGTGAGCTCAGGGCGGGGGCACCCCTGCACCGTCCAAAACAACGGGGTCCCTCAGTCTGCCGCGGAGGGGCCGGACTCTGAGTGGGCTGACCCTCCTGGGGCCTCATGTTCTTTCCTGCTCCTGGCCCCTCTGCTGGGTCTGCCCCCGCGCCCAGGTGGTGAGTTTCACCAAGAGAAGCCGGAGTTTTCCCGGCTGCGGGAGCTCCAGGACTGTCTCAGGGCGGCATTTCAAGGAGGCGCCAGTGACGGCTTTATTTTTATTTATTTATTTATTTATTTTCACTTTTTGGGGTCACACCTGGCGATGCACAGGGCTTACTCCTGGCTCTGCACTCCAGAACCACTCCTGGCGGTGCTCAGGGGACCATATGGGAAGCTGGGAATCGAACCCGGGTCGGCCGAGTGCAAGGCAAACGCCCTGCCCGCTGTGCTATTGCTCCAGCCCCAACCAACGACGTTTTTAGACGTGAAGCGATGTTGGCTGTCTGGTGGCCCAGTACTGTACTCTCCGTGGCCCGGTGCAGCCTCTGGATTTCGAGGCCCCGGCCATGGACACCCAGCAGCTCCCAGGCGGCCTGGACATGTCTTCTGGGCCCTGGGTCGTGTTTGTGGCTAAGGGCCAGAGATGCGGTGGGGACGAACGCTCTCACCTTTGCGTGTGCTGGTCAGCTCGGGTCTGATCCCTGGCACCCCAGCTGGTCCCCCCTGCACCGCTGGGCGTGATCCCTGAGCACAGAGCCAGGAGTCGCCTCTGCGCACAATCTGGTGTGCCCACTCTCTCCCCGCCCACCTCCTCCGCTGAGACAAACCAATGGGGTTGTGGCTGTGCTGTTCTTTCCCAGGCGGGGGGTATTCTCCTTGTGGTGGTTCTCTGTTCCGGGGTGTGGCCCGAGAACCCATGTTCGCCGGCCGCCTCGCCTCTCCATGAGGCACTGGGCAGATGGGAGGACTCCGGGGTACGGGGGATGCGGAACCGGGTGGACAGAGCCAGGCAGGCCTGTCTCGAGCAAGGCAGCCGGGAGGGGCTGCAAAGGGGCTGCTCGCTGGGACCCGGCCAGACCACCAGTGCTGCCCTCAGCAGGGACACGCTCGAGGGGCTGGTGCTGGCGGGCGGCTGGGACTGAGGCGGTTTGCGTGGAGCCCAGAACTGACAGCCACTGAGCATCCGCGAGGGAGGGAACGCGAGGGGTGCCGCTTGGCAGGTAGACCCCGGCTCCCGAGACCTCGGCACCCCCCAGACGCAGTCCTCTGACTGGAGAGGGGAGGAGGGGTTGTCCCGCCAACCCGGGGCACCCTCCAGTCCTGGGCTCTCCACGCAGCACGTCAAGGGGCACCTCCCAACTCTGCGCCCGCTGCCCTGGGCTGGTCTGGGCCGGTGGGGCTGGTGGGGGGCTTGATTCAGATTGGGGTGGGGTGTCTCCCAGACTCTGAGTCCTGCCTGCTCCTGTCTGCCCCACTCCCGTCTACCCCGCCCCTGTCCTCTCCCCCATTCCCCCCTGCCCCTGTCCACTCCCTCCTCTCCTGTCCACTGACACCCCCCTCACCCCACCCTGCTCCTGTTCATTCCTCCGAGAGCTCCGAGCCCATCTCCCACTCTGGCTGTTGGAGCCTCCGCACTTCTGTTCCCTTCTTCCAGAACCTTCCCCAGAGCCCTCCCCCAGGACAGCCCTCCCAGTGGGGGCCAGGGTCCTGCTCCCTCCCAGGCAGCCGCTCTCCTTTGGGTCCCACAGCAGTTCCTGCATCCGTATCCCTCTCGCCCCTCGCTCTGGGCCATCAGAGCCCTAGGCCTCTGGCTAAAGGGATCTCAGATAGCCCCTCCTGAGCACCCCCCCCCCCCGCCATCCCCCCCGGAGCAGCTCAGGGCCCTGTAATCACCCTGGAGCACAGCTGGCCACATAGCAGGTGGGCTCAGTGGAGACCTGGCCCACTGCACCCCCCATCTCCGCCCAGGAGCCAGGTCAGCACCCTCTAGGCCCCATCTGAGGAGGCGAGGGGGTGCCGGCTCAGTCAGTGCACGGGGATCTTCTGGGGACGGCTGCTGAGTGAGGAAGGTGGGGATGCGGTAGACCCCCTCCACCCTCACCCCCTGGTCCGGGAGAGAGGACCAGGCGAGGAAGGCGTGTTCTCTGGAGCTTAGAACCCCTGGATGTGGAGGGCCGGGGAGATGGCACCCCGGGGAGGGCACTTGCCCACCACACCTGACCCGCGTTCAACCCCCAGCATCCCACTGGGTCCCCTGACCCCGCCGGGAGTAGTCCCTGAGCACTGCCGGGTGTGACCCCAAACATCATCAGCCCCGGTTCCTGTGCTGGGGGGTGCAGAGCCGCTGCCCCATGCCTGCTGGGATGGAAGGTTTCGGGGGAGGTGGCGACAGAGGCGGGCCTGCGTGTCATGCTGCCCAGAGCCCGATGGCAGCATCTCATCCTAGAAACTGGGGAAACTTACACACGCCCCTGAGAACCCCCGTGCCCGCCCTTGGACCCTGGGAAGTTTGGAAGCGCTGGGAGGGGGACCCTCCCTGATGCTGCCCCCAGGGAGTCCCCCGGGGCTTCCGCTGGGATCTGGCAAGGCCAGTGCCCTGTACTGTCTCTCCCAGGACCCTGGGCATCCAGACCCACCTTCCCTGCAGTCTCCCACCCCCAGGCCGCCCCTGAATGAACAGAGCGCCCCCCCCCCCCCCAGTCGCCTGGTGCACGCTCATTCCGCCCCCACACACACACTGCCCCCTTGCCCAGGGAAAGGATGCTCAGTGCGAGGCGACCCAAGAAAGCTCTGCGGCCACACTTGACTTTCTCCCGTTTTTCTCCCGTTATTTCTCTTTTCTATTTTATTTATTCTGTTTTGGGGACCACACCTGGTAGGGCTCAGGGCTTCCTCCTGGCTCTGCACTCAGGGATCATTCCTGGCAGGGCTTGGGGTGCCACACGGGGTGCCGGGGGTCGAGCCTGGGTCGACTGCGTGCAAGGCAGACGTCCTCCGTGACGTGCTAGCCTCTGACTCCTCCGTCACTTCTTTTTATTTTTTATTAGATTTTTTTTTTTTAATTAGTGAGACACCATGAAGTACAGTTGTAGATTTACAAATTGTTGTGCTTGGGTTTCAGTTATACAATGATTGAGTACCCATCTCTCCACCAGTGCCCATTTTCCACCACCACGGATCCCAGTATCTCTCCTACCCCCGATCCCCCCCACCCCCCGTCCCACCCTGCCTCTGTGGCAGGGCATTCCCTTTTGTTCTCTCTCTCCTTTTGGGTGCTGTGGTTTGCAAAAGAGGCATTGAGTGGCTATCATGTTCCCATAGTCTACTTTCAGCATGCTTCTCCCATCCTGGGAGGGTCCTCCCAACACCCTTTACTTGGTGCTCCCTTCTCTATCTGATCCTCCGTCACTTCTTGTCTTGGTCATTGTGTGTCATGGCGGTGACCAGGGTGGTACCCTCACCTCGCTCTGGTCCTCACGCCTGGCACTCCCCAGGTTTGCATCCCTTTATAGTGGCTAGGTTTGCACGTAGGGGAGGCAGGGCGGTCGCACTTGAGACATGGATGGCGGCAGGGGTGCTCAGGGAGGGCTACAGGCACTTGTCAGGCTTTCCCGGCCACAGCGTGGGCACAGCCTGTGGTGGGGCACTTGGCAGGAGTGGCACCCCAGGGTGCTCACACACACCTGGCTGTGGGGTGGCAGAGAATTCATAGGAGAGCCGCAGGCACGGGAGTACCGGGGATCTGAACTCGGGACTGTGCAAGGCAGGTGCCCTGCCTCCTCCAATGCTGTGGGGACGTTTCTTGGGAACTTCTCGGCTGCTGTGGAACCCAGGGATGAGGTCTTGGTGGAGCTGCTGTCAACAGGGGGGTCTGCTCTCAGGGATGTGCTCCGGCCGAGCCCCCTTCCCTTGCTCCCAGCCTGGTCCAGGCCACTGGAAGCCAGGCAGATACAGGTGGAACCGTGTCCATGAGCTTGGCACGGGCAGCGGAAGGGGTCAGAGACTGAACCAGGTTGAGTCCAGTTTGTCGGTACACGAAGGGCATGAAACTAGGGGCCCTTAAGCAGCCATGAAGAACAGAAAGACAGGCGCGGGTCTGTGCCTTGGCTGGGACTGGTGATGGACCAACTGTCCTGGGGGTGCCTCTGGACTCCCACAGCGCCCTTGACCCTGGCCCGGCCCATCGGGCAGTGGGAGCGGGTGTTGATGGACGTCAGGTCAGGACGGGGGTGAGAGGGTCACAGCCCGACTCTGTGCCCGCAGGTGGAGAGCCTGAAGGAGAAGCTCATCAGTCAGGCACAGGAAGTGAGCCGGCTTCGATCGGAGCTGGTGAGTGCCAGGGGTGGCCCGGGGGGGTGTGCCCCCGGGTTGGGGGGAGGCCACTGTCCGGCTGGGAAACACTCCCAGGCCCAGTCCCCGGGAGGCCGTGTGACCCTCCCTCTCCTGCTCGCCGGGCTGACGTAGAGCCGGAGTGTGAACCCTGTGGATAAATAGGACTTTTCTCTCGTCACTTTCACACTCAGGAAATAGAAGGCAAGGGGCGGGCGCCGCCGGGAGCGGGTCCCCTTCTTCCCTCCTTCCTTCCCAGGGCGCTGCTCCCGCCGGCTTCCTCTCTGCCCCCTGCCCCTGCCGCTGTCTCCTACCCAGTCTCTGCCCTCGCACTCCGGCCCCCGTGCGTCCCCTCTCCCACCCCTCCCAATGCCAGCTCTGGCCCCCGGCTCTCCCCAGGGCGGCACCGACTTGGAGAAGCACCGGGACCTGCTGATGGTGGAGAACGAGCGGCTGAGGCAGGACATGCGGCGCTGTGAGGCGGAGCTGCAGGAGCTGCGGGCCAGGCCGGGCGCCCCGTGCGCCGGCTGCGAGCACAGCCAGGTGAGCCCAGCATCCTGCCTGCCTGCGGGGGAGGGGCGCGGCATCCTGGGGGGGGGAGGGGGGCCCTCGCCAGCCCGCCTGACCCCCGGCCCGCCCCCAGGAGAGCGCCCAGCTCCGCGAGCAGCTGTGCCAGCTGCAGCTGGAGGTGACGGAGAACAAGGGCATGGTGTCGGAGCTGAACCTGGAGGTGCAGCAGAAGACGGACCGGCTGGCCGAGGTGGAGCTGCGCCTGAAGGACTGCCTGGCCGAGAAGGCGCAGGAGGAGGAGCGGCTCAGCCGCCGCCTGCGCGACAGCCACGAGACCATCGCCAGCCTGCGGGCGCAGTCGCCGCCCGTCAAGGTGAGCCCCTGACCCTCGCCTTTCCCATCTCTCCGGGCCAGCCTCTCTCTCTCTCTCTTTTTTTTTTTTTTTTTTTTGCTTTTTGGGTCACACCTGGTGTTGCTCAGGGGTTCCTCCTGGCTCTGCACTCTGAAATCACTCGTGCTTGGGGGACCATATGGGAGGCTGGGGATCGAACCCGGGTCAACCGTGTGCAAGGCAAAACGCCCTACCCGCTGTGCTATCATAGCTCCAGCCCCCAACTCCGGCCTCTCTTGGCACATGCCTCCAGGTGGGAGATTCCAGGGGCCAGCAGAGCGCTCCGAGGGCTGGAGTGATCCCCGAGCTCTGTCCCTGGCCCCCGCATGACCACCCAGCCCTGCACCGCCGGGTGGAGCCCCGGTGGCCCAGGACTGGGCCCAGGCAGCACAGATTCACCAGCCCCAGATGGAACCGTCCAGGCCACTCCAGCAGCCCAGACCAAGTGTTGCTAGGAGTGCCCCCAGGGTCCCCAAGCACCACTAGGGAGACCCCTGTGAAAACTGAACTCACATGTGTGTACACATGTATATACAAGACAGACAAACATGCCTGTGTCATATTGGAGAAAGTCCCTTGAGGCCTTGTATCGTCCTAGAAGGCCAAAACCTTGCGGGGAATCTTAGTTTTTTGGTTTTATTTTGGGGGGTGCCCCCAGCTGGCAATGCTCAGGCTAACTCCTGGCTCTGCACTCAGGAGTCACTCCTGGCGGGGCTTGGGGGGCACCATATGTAGAGTGCCGGGAATCGAACCTGGGTCAGCTGCGTGCAAGGCAAGCGCCCTCCCTACTGGACTATCGTTCCGGCGGCACCTCTTAGTTTTCCTCTGGGAACTCCTGGTGGAGTGTCACCCTCTGGGCCCCGGGGTGCGGTCCAGGCCCTCCCCCGACGCCACCACCTCCATCACCGTCTCCCCTGCCCTCTCAGTACGTCATCAAGACGGTGGAGGTGGAGTCCCCCAAGACCAAGCAGGCACTGAGCGAGTCGCAGGCCCGGACCCAGCAGCTGCAGGAGCAGGTGTCCATGCAGAGGCAGGTGCTGAAGGAGATGGAGCAGCAGCTACAGAGCTCACACCAGCTGACCACACAGCTCCGGGCGCAGGTGTGTGTGGGGCCGGGCGGGGCCGAGGCAGGTGGCCCAGGGGGCTGCAGCCCACCTGGGGGTGGGGCTCACTGGCCACATGAGCAGGTTTCCTCCAAGTCTCTGCTTATGGGAGATGATCTGGTCCCAGAACCCACCTGGCGGTGGCGCCTGGGACCACCTTCCCAGGGACCCCCACCCACGGCCCAGCACACATGCCCTTGGGTCCCCCACGTTGCCCCCTTGCTCCGGGGCTCCTGGCTCCAGCACTGGGTGTGTGCAGGGGTGCAGGTGGGCAGGGAAGGCGTCACCTCAGATCTCCCCGTCCTCCCAGCCCTCGTGTGTGTGTGCGCATGTGTGTGTCCGTGTACGTGGCCGGGACAGGGGGAGCCCCCCACCCTCTCTCCCTTCTGCTCCCCGAGCACTGAGCGCCTGGTTCCCGGCCCAGATCGCCATGTACGAGTCGGAGCTGGAGCGGGCGCACGGGCAGATGCTAGAGGAGCTGCAGTCCCTGGAGGAGGACAAGAACCGAGCGGTGGAGGAGGCCTTTGCCCGCGCCCAGGTGGAGATGAAGGCGGTGCACGAGAACCTGGCAGGTGAGCCAGCGGGCCGGGTGGGTTGGGTGCCCCCACCCCGCCGCCACGTGCCACCTGCCCATCCCCCTGAGCACCACCAACCCCCCCCCCCCGCCCCTGTCCTGCCCCCGCAGGCGTCAGGACCAACCTGCTGACCCTGCAGCCGGCCCTGCGGACCCTCACCCACGACTACAACGGGCTCAAGCGGCAGGTGCGCGGCTTCCCGCTGCTGCTGCAGGAGGCGCTGCAGAGCGTCAAGGCCGAGGTGTGTGCGGGCAGGCAGGTGGATGGGCTGGGGGACAGGGCCCCTCCCCAAGGCAGGTGCAGCCCCCCAGGACCACAGGGTCCCTCGTGTGCAGCACAGTCTGAAAGATGGCCCGGCCGGGGAGCAAGCAGGAGCCTTCCTGCGTCCGCCTCAGACAGGCTCCGGGAGCCTGGGGTCTGCAGGGTTCCACGGCGCCATCCCCCGGCTGTGCGTGTGCAGTGGGGGCACAGCCGGCCTCTGCCGAGAGCCTCCTGCATGCGCAGCCTTTTGTGGCCGCAACATCTTGAGTGCCTGGAGACAGGACTCTGAAGGGGACGGGCACTGAGGAAGAGAGACGGGTTCTGGGGCCCGAGAGAGAGCACAGCTGGGAGGGTGCTGGCCTTGCTTGTGGACAACCCGGGTTCGACCCTGAGCACCAGCAGGAGGGATTCCTGAGTGCAGAGCCAGGTGTTAAGCCCTGAGCATCGCCAGTGTGGCCCCAAAACCAAAACCAAAACCAACAGTTCTGCTTTTTATTTTTTTCCACTTTTTGGGTCACACCCGGCAATGTGACTCCTGACTTTGCACTCAGGAATTACTCCTGGCCATGCTCAGGGAACCATATGGGACGTTGGGAATCAAACCTGGGTCGGCCATGTGCAAGGCAAATACCCTACCTGCTGTGCTATCGCTCCAACCCCAGTTCTGCTTTCTAAAGTATGTCAGTATGGGGCCAGTAGGGGCCGCAGAGATAGTACAGTGGGCAGAGCACGTGGCCAGCCTGGCTTCTATCCCCAACACCACATGTGGCCCCTGAGCACCACAGAGCCAGGAGTAAGCCAGTCGCCCAGGGGCCTGGTAGCAAGTTCAAACTGCAGCGGGGCGGAGAGGGAGAGAGAAAGGGTAAGGCTCCTCTCTGGCCCCCGCCCCTCACCCCTCACCCCATGCTGCTCCCCAGAAGTAGCTGGCCTTGGCATTTCTGCCCCCCGTCCAATGGGCATCCTGAGCATCTCTGCATGCGCCCTTGCACAGCCGAGCAAAGGGGACCCCATGTGCTGTGTTCTGTCGCTTGTTTTCGCCCGTGTCCCATGACCCGTGTTCCCCACCGAGGCTGGCAGAGAGCCGGTCGCCTCAGAGGGGCCCCCCGTGATGCGGGTACAGCTGACAGTGACTGGTGCCAGGCTGTGAGGGCTGGGACCCAGCTCTGACCTCAGGCCCTGGCGGGATGGCTCCTGGGGGCTCACTTCCTTCCTCTGTGAAGCACAGCCCTAGGGCAGCCCCCCAACCTTGGCCCCGGCTAGTGGTGGTGGGAACCAGCTGGCCGCAGCCCCTGCCCGTGTCCCCTGCAGATCGGCCAGGCCATCGAGGAGGTCAACAGCCACAACCAGGAGCTGCTACGCAAGTACCGCCGGGAGCTCCAGCTGCGGAAGAAGTGCCACAACGAGCTGGTGCGGCTGAAAGGTGGGCGCCTGAGCCCCGCCTCTCGGGGGCTGCAGAGGACCAGGCCCCCAGAGGCCAGGAAACGGGCCACCCAGGACCTGTGCATTCCCTGTCTAGAGCCCATGCGGAACTGGGGGAGTGGGGGCCTCGCGCATGCTCAGAGCAGGCGAAGGGGCAGCGCAGGGCTGTTCCCAGGTTGGGGGGGAGAACAGACGAGCTCCTCACCCCCCCCAAAGAGCCCCCCGCAGCGCCCAGAGCAGGCTGGGGAGTCTCTGGGATTCAACAACCGGGCTCCTGGGCGCTTCCTGGAGTCTGAGCCTTGGGGTGGAGCAGAGGGTGATGAGGAATGTGAGGAGAGAAGGTGATGGACTGTGGGGAGAGATGTGAGGAGAGAAGGTGAGGGATGGTGAGGAGGGACGTGAGGAGAGAAGGTGATGGATGTGAGGAGAAAAGGTGAGGGGAGAAGGTGAGGGACAGTGAGGAGGGACATGAGAGGAGGTGAAGGATGTTGAGGAGAGAAGGTGAAGGACGTAAGGAGAGAAGGTGAGAGACATGAGGAGAGAAAGTGAGGGACAGTGAGGAGGGACGTGAGAAGGTGAGGGACGGTGAGGAGGAACATGAGGAGAGGAGGTGAGGGATGGTGAAGGACATGAGGAGAGAAGGTGATGGACTGTGGGGAGGGACGTGAAGAGAGAAGGTGATGGACTGTGGGGAGAGATGTGAGGAGAGAAGGTGAGGGATGGTGAGGAGGGACCTGAGTAGAGAAGGTGATGGATGTGAGGAGAAAAGGTGAGGGGAGAAGGTGAGGGACAGTGAGGAGGGACATGAGAGGAGGTGAAGGATGTTGAGGAGAGAAGATGAAGGACATAAGGAGAGAAGGTGAGAGACATGAGGAGAGAAAGTGAGGGACAGTGAGGAGGGACGTGAGAAGGTGAGGGATGGTGAGGAGGAGCATGAGGAGAGTGGTGAGGGTATTGAGAGGTGAGGGACAGTGAGAAGGGACATGAGAGAAGGCGAAGGATGTTGAGGAGAGAAAGTGAGGGACGTGAGGAGAGAAGGTGAGGGGTGTGAGGAGGGAATGTGAAGAGAGGTGAGGGATAGGAAAGAAGGTGAGGGATGAGAGGAGAGAAGGTGAAGGACAGAAGGAGAGAAGGTGAGAGACATGAGAGAAAGTGAGGGACAGTGAGGAGGGATGTGAGGTGAGGGACGGTGAGGAGGAACATGAGAGGAGGTGAAGGGCGTGAGGAGAGGTTGAGGTACAGTGAGGAGGGCCATGAGGAGATGAAGATGGATGGTGCTGCCCCGCTGGCAGAGGGCGACAGCTTTCTCTGCATCTTCGCCATCCTGCCAGAGAGCTTGAAGCGTGGGTGGGGGTCATGACTCCCCCAGGCTGCCCCAGGGTCTGTACCCGTTCAGTGCCACCGACCTGTCCTCCACCTGCCGTCTGGCTCTGCCACCCCCCCTCAGTCCTGTTTCCTGGCAGGGCATCCTTAGCGAATGTCAGAACCCAGGGCCCCCGACTCTCTGGCCTGAGCCCCTCATTGCGGGGATGAGGAGACGGGAACTCGAGATGTGAGGGGGGAGCATCTCGGTTCCTGCCTGGGGGGCACAGCCCTGTGTCAGCCTTTCTTCCTTGTCCCCAAGGCAGAACTTCCTCTTGCTCAGCCCCGAGGGCGAGTGGGCTTGGAGCAACTGGGGGGGCTCACTTTGCCCCTGGGACCCTGCTCAGCTGGTGGGGGGGGGGGCTCCGGCACCCACGAGGCATTTTTTTTTTTTTTTTTTTTTTTGCTTTTTGGGTCACACCCGGAGATGCTCAGGGATTACTCCTGGCTCTGCACTCAGGAATTAATTACTCCTGGCAGTGCTCCGGGGACCATGTGGGATGCTGGGAATCGAACCTGTGTCCGCCGCATGCAAGGCAAACGCTCTACCCACTGTGCTATATCGCTCCAGCCCCCTGGGGCATCTGTCTTGACCCCATCTCTGCCCCACTGCACCCAGGCAACATCCGGGTGATTGCTCGAGTCCGGCCGGTCACTAAAGAGGACGGGGAAGGACCGGAGGCCACCAATGCCGTGACCTTCGATCCGGACGACGACTCCATCCTCCACCTGCTGCATAAAGGGAAGCCAGTGTCCTTCGAGCTGGACAAGGTGTTCTCCCCGCGGGCCTCGCAGCAGGACGTGAGTGCCGCCGGCTGGGGAGGAAACCGAGAGACAGGGCCAGAGTGGACAGAAGGGTCCCTGCCTGTTTCCTCTGGGCGTGAGAGGAGGCGGGAAGCTGAGGCTGGAGGCCTTGGGTGGGGCGTGCACAGGAGCTGCAGTGTCTGCCTGGCACGCAGCGGCCCCCTGACCCCCCACGCTGCAGATGGTCCCCGCCACTGACTGCCAGGGCACCCTCCCGAGCACTGAGGAGAGCAGCCCTAAAACCTGGGAGAAGGACAAGGGCCAGGGCCGGAGCCATAAAACCACAGGCAGGGCACTTGCCTAAAACGCAGCATGGCCGGTTTTGATCCCAGCATCCCATCTGGTTCCCTGAGCACCACCAGGAATGACCCCTGAGCACGGTCAGGTGTGGCCCCCAAACAAACAGAAAAGTCAAGGGCCTTAAAAGCCTCCTGGGAGAGATTCTTCTAGCACCCACGAGGCCCCTCTCACCCACCACCGCCTCACCTGCCCTAGTGACTCTGCCTATCCGCATGCCCCACCCACCCTGGGGATTCCCCCCCAAACCCCACCTCTGCCCCGCCCACCACAGTAGCCACGACCCCATGAGCCCCCCCCCCCATTGTGTGTACCCACTCTCAGGTCCCGCTTGCCCACTTGGCCCCACCCTTGTGGCCGCCCCTGACCAGTAGTGAGGCCCCTTTCTGGCCTGCAGCCCCCCAGTCTGTGAAACTCTGTATCTGCTCTTTTTTTTAAATTTATTTTATTTTATTTATTTTTTGCTTTTTGGGTCACACCCGGCAATGCACAGGGGTTACTCCTGGCTCTGCACTCAGGAGTTACTCCTGGCGGTGCTCGGGGGACCCTATGGGATGCTGGGAGTCGAACCTGGGTTGGCCGTGTGCAAGGCAAACGCCCTACCCGCTGTGCTATCGCTCCAGCCCCTGCTCTTTATTTTTTTCTTTAAAGAAACTCTTTCCTTCTTTCTTTCTTTCTTTCTTCCTTTCCTTTCTTTCGGCTGGAGTGATAGCACAGAGGGTAGGGCATCTTCCTTGCACACAACCAGACCAGACCGTCCTGAGTTCGATTCCTCCGGCCCTCTTGGAGAGCCCAGCAAGCTACTGAGAGTATCTCGCCCACACAGCAAGCACCTCATGGTGTATTCGATATGCCAAACACAGTAACAACAAGTCTCACAATGGAGACGTTAGTGGACCTGCTCGAGCAAGTCGAAGAACAACGGGAGGACAGTGCAACAGTGCTTTATTTATTTATTTATTTTCTTTTGGGGTCACACCCAGTGATGCTCAAGGGGTTACTGCTGGCTCTGCACTCAGGAATTACTCCTGGCGGTGCTCAGGGGGACCAAGTGAAATACTAGGAATTGAACCCGGGTCGGCCGCGTGCAAGGCAAACTCCCTCCCCGCTGTGCTCTCACTCGGCCCTCTCTCTGCTCTTTGGCGCTCTGTGCTGCAGCCTCCTGCCAGGCCCCAGGTGCCCCTGCCTTCCCAAGCCTGGCTTCGTCTCTGCCCCTGCCCCGAGCCCCAGCAGACAGGGAGGTCTGCCTCTGTTTCCTGACTTCCAAAGAGCAGGAGAGACTGGGGCTGGGGGTGTCCTGGGCCCAAGGTCGGGGCAGACCCTCCCTGGGTGCTTGCCGGCAGAATCACTCACTGGCCCTCGGTTTGCACATGGCCACTGGCTGCCACCGATGCTCGGTTCCCTGAGACAGGATTCTGAGTCCGCGAGTGCCTCCACGCAAGCCACTTGCCAGAGTAGCGCGTGCTGCCATGTTGCAGTTGGGAAGGGGGGGAGCGGCCGTAAAAAGGCCTGGGCTGGAGCTGGCGGGTGGGGGCGGCCCTGGGCAGCCCCTCACCCTCCACCCCGTGCTCCCACCCCAGGTGTTCCAGGAGGTGCAGGCGCTCATCACCTCCTGCATCGACGGCTTCAATGTCTGCATCTTCGCCTACGGGCAGACGGGCGCCGGCAAGACCTACACTATGGAGGTGGGTGCTTGCTTGGGAGTGTGGAGAAAGACTCATGTCCCTCGGGTTGGAGAGACAGCATGGTGTGCGTGTGTGTGTGGTGGTGGGGAAGCAGTCAGGCCATCAGCTCCCCTCTTGCTACAGTTGTGGGGGGCTCTCTTCATCGGTGGACGTTGGCCTCTCTTGGTCTTCACAGCCCCCAAGGACCCTTAGTTTTTCATGTGAACCCTAAGGCAGAAGTGCCTTGGGTCCCGTGGGGGTGGGGGACGGGCAGGCTCACTGACTACAAGCGAACAGTAGTGGGGGGTTAGTGCAGACCTCAGGAGGGGCTCTGGCCAGCAGGAGAAACTGGCCAGTGAAGGCCTTTCGGGGCACCCAGCAGCTCCCTAGTGGTGGCCAGCCCCTCCCCAGGGCTCGTGATGGTGAATATGGGGGTGTTGAGGAGGACTCGGAGCTGTGGGTATAGATGCCAAGCTGGTCCCTGGGGGTGTCTTTGCTGCTACACTTCTCTAGGTCTTGGGGGAGGGGGCGCTGTGGGGCTTCTCTGGTGGGGAAGAGCCCTGAACAGGCCCTGCTGGCCCCAGACTCCTATCCCAGGTAGACCCTGGTTTGGGGCGGGGATGGGAGAAGAGCTGAAAGGTCTGGGGTGTGCACAGGGTACGGGGGCTTGGGCAGACCACCAGGGCCATCCATGTGTCAGGCCCCCCGGCAACACTGTGGCCTCAGCCCCTGTGGGGGTCACTCGGGGAGGGCCCAGCAGTGGGGGGAGGTGGGAGTAGACCCCCCAAGGAGACACCATGCAGAGGAGAGGGGCGTGCTGCAGTCACCCTGATGAGGTCTCCAGATTGTCTCGGCCCCTAACACTGCCGTGGGCAGCCTGCACACAGCCCTTGGCATGTGGAGCCCCTCGGCAGTGGCCAGCAGTGACCAGTGACAGTGACTCCCAGGCACTGTGTGCCTCGTGCATAATCCCAGTCTGAGGGCAGTCTGGGGCGTGGGGGTGGGTGCTTCTTCCATTTTCACTGGGGGCCTCCAGGCCCAAGAAGTGAAGTTACTTGGTGTCTATACAAGGCGTCGGGGAAGGGGTGGGTGGCCTGCAGTGGGTACTCTGTGTCGGAAGGCTGACCGGGAGGGTTACTGGGACATGGCCAGACTCCCCGGGAGCGTGAGCAGCTGGTGGGTTGGGGCCCGGCTCACGGGGCCTCATCTCTGCCATAGGGGACCCCGGACAACCCGGGCATCAACCAGCGGGCACTGCAGCTGCTCTTCTCGGAGGTGCAGGACAAGGCGTCTGACTGGGAGTACACCATCACTGTCAGCGCCGCCGAGATCTACAATGAGCTGCTCCGGTGGGTGCGCGGCCCCCGGGGGTCATCGGGGGCAGGGAGAGCAGAGCTGGCCCCCCACCCCCCCAGGGGCAGGGTACCCGGTCGGGGGTCTCAGAAGGGGCATGAGCAGTGAGAACCCATGCCCACGGGGGTCTGACTCAGACAGCTGCACTGAGGGTCCTGACATTCAGAGGTGGAGAGGGAGGTGTCCCCAGCCCCCTGGGGAGCCCCATGCAACTTAACTTTCAGAGTGTGGCCCCCACCCTGGGTCCACAGCAGGTGGTAGTAAGCGAGAAGGTGGGGGGGTTGGGCGGAGGTCCTGCCCATAGGAACTCAGAGCGGTGAGTGGGGCAGGAGCAGCAGACACAGGGGGATTTGGGGGCACAGAGAGGACCTGCGAGCGGGGGAGGAGGAGCAGGAGGGTCTTTAGGCGAAGGTCAGGGAAGGCCTCTGGGCAGAGACAGGGGCGGGGCAGGCACGGAGTTCCAGGCTGCGGGCGGGGTGCAGGCAGCGGTGGAGGAGGGAGGGACGACCAGGTCTGTCTGGCCCTCCAGGGACCTGCTGGGACAGGAGCCCCAGGAGAAATTAGAGATCCGGCTGTGCCCAGACGGCAGCGGGCAGCTGTACGTGCCCGGGCTGACCGAGTTTCAAGTGCAGAGCGTGGACGACATCAACAAGGTGTGGGGCCGTGGGGGGCGTGGCGTGCCTGCCGAGGGCGTGGCTTGTGGTGGGCGTGGCGTGGGTGGTGGGCGTGGCCTGGGAGGCTCCCCCGCCGCCCCCCCCCCCCTCCGCGCAGCCACCGGCTTCGGGATCTCTGCGTCTCCGCAGCCTTCGCGCCTCCTTCTTCCCTCCATAGCGCAGAGGGTGACACTCAGCGGGTTCTCGGGAGGGTGTGACTCCCTCCCCCAGGCCGCACTCCTAAACCCCGCCCCCCGCCCCAGGTCTTTGAGTTCGGCCACACCAACCGCACCACGGAGTTCACCAACCTGAACGAGCACAGCTCGCGCTCGCACGCGCTGCTCATCGTCACGGTGCGCGGCGTGGACTGCAGCACCGGCCTGCGCACCACGGGTGAGCGGGGACGGCCGGACACACGCCCTGTTCCCCACCCCCCCAGCCCCCCCCCCTCCGTGCACGCCCGGTCCCCGCGCGCGCACTCCTGGTCCCCGCGCGCCGCCCTGTCCCAGCGCTTGCCCGGTCCCCGCGGGCCGCCTTGTCCCCGTGCGCGCGCCCTCACCGCCGCGCCCTCCCCACAGGGAAGCTCAACCTGGTGGACCTGGCGGGCTCGGAGCGCGTGGGCAAGTCGGGCGCCGAGGGCAGCCGCCTGCGGGAGGCCCAGCACATCAACAAGTCCCTGTCGGCCCTGGGGGACGTCATCGCGGCGCTGCGCTCCCGCCAGGGCCACGTGCCCTTCCGCAACTCCAAGCTCACGTACCTGCTGCAGGACTCGCTCAGCGGGGACAGCAAGACCCTCATGGTGGTGCAGGTGAGGGCCCGGCAGCATGTGCGGGGTGGGGCAGCGGTGTGGAGGGGAGGGGCGGGCGGGCCCCAGGCCTGGGTGAAGTCAGGGGAGTGAGCTCTCGTGTCCACTAGGTGTCCCCAGTGGAGAAAAACACCAGCGAGACACTGTACTCCCTCAAGTTCGCCGAGAGGGTGCGCTCCGTGGAGCTGGGCCCCGTGTCCCGCCGGGCAGAGCTGGGGTCCTGGTCCAGCCAGGAGCATCTGGAGGTACGGGACCGGGTCCCTGGCGATTCTGGCTGCAGACTTCCAGCAAGGGGGGTGGGGGAGTAGGGGGCAAGAGTGGTGGTGGGGGGCTCGGGTCACTATTCCTGCTCCTTCTGCACACCACTCATTCCTTCTTGCTGTAAGGGGGGGTGTCCACTTGTGCCAAGGAAGGGGGCTTCACATGGCAGGAGGGGCGGTGGGGCAGAAAGCATGAGGGGCCCCAACCGCCTGCCCTTGCTGCCCACAGTGGGAGTCCGCGTCCCAGGTGGCCCCGTCTGCAGCCCGCGCTCACTCAGCCCCTGGCTCGGTCTCCAGCAGCCGCCCAGGCTCCATGAGGAGGAAGCTGCAGCCGTCAGGTGAGGGGAGTGGGGCAGGGTCTCCCCACGGGCCGTCCAGCAGCCCCTCACATGTCCTTCCCTCTTGGGAAGACTTTTGATGACCTCAAAGTGGATTTTGCCCCAGTGCCTGGCCTGGGAAGAAATACTCGGGTGGGGAGCGCCACTGCCAGTCAGAAAGGCCTGAGGGGCAGTGGATAGCTCCTGCTTGTTGGACGTGCAGACTGCAGGCCAGGGGCATCCAGAGGGGTGGGGGCAGCAGGGTCTTGGGCCCTGAGACAGGCCCATCAGTCAGACCCCTGTCACTTTGATTTCAGCCTGACGGCTGGGGCTGCGCGTCTCCAGGTGAGTGGGGCCCAGTGGCCCAGGACTGCTCGCTGGCCGCCTGCCTGGCCGCCGGGGCTGCAGGGCTGCTCAGGGCTGGGGCTCGCCTCCCCGCTTCTATGTGCGCTTCTGCTGAGACCCGGCCCACCCTCAGACCACCCCCAGCCGCTGCTGAGACCCTCTTTCCACCCCCCTCTGCAGGGAAGTTGAGACCCGTGCCTGTGTGATGGACAGACAGAGGTGACCGCGCCGCAGGGCAGGTTCCAGGCCTGGCCAGGCTGCTCTGCTGCAGTGTCCGAAGCCTGGGGGGCCGGCTGGGCGGGAGTGGAGGACACTCTGGTGCCAGCTCCCCGCGGAGAGGAGCAACACCTTCAGAAGAAAGGGCCGGCTTGTGGCTGGGGCTCTGGGTGCACGCGGCACAGGCTGGGACGGCAGGAAGGGCCAGTTCAGCCAGGCGGGCCCCGGGCCATCGGAGTGGGCCCTTGGGGTGGGAGGAGCGTGGGTGGGCCCGGCTCTGCCCGCCGGCAGGAACCGTGGGAAGCGGGCGGGTGTGTGTCATGTCGTGTGGGAGGTGTGGAGCGTGGCCCCCCGCCAACGGGTATTTATGGCTGCAGGAGGCCGGTGGGCAGCTTCTGCTGCTCCCCCTGCCTGGCTCAGGCTCTCCATGCCCACGGGCCTCCTGGCATTTTTCCTCCCTCTGAAATCCTATTTAAGACCTTTTGGAAGCTTAGCCATTTTTACTTGTTAAAATAAAAGCCTTTTTACACAAGCATAGTCTCGGTTTTGTGAACCCCGGAGCCCTGAGGGCCGATCATAGGTGGGAGACACGGCCCTCCCCATCCACTGATGGCTGGTCACACCCCTGGACATCAGTGTCCCTGGCCAGGAAGGGTCAGTGCATCCTGCCTTTCATGCCCAGACCACAGTGGGCCAAGAACTGGTGCCTGCGGGACCCCAACCATCAGCACAGCAGCTGACCCCCGCCTTCTGGGGAGCCTGCAGTGGGCCCAGGACAGGGGTCCCCCTACAATCGGGGCTGAACTCCAAAGCTGTGGCCTCATGTAGGGTCCACCACCTCTTGGGGCAGACCCCCAGGATCCAGGGGCGTCTAGCCAATAGGGCGGAAGGCAGCTTGGGACCCTTTGGGGGTTTGGAAGGTGTGGGGCTCTGCCATCCGGCTTTGCAGGGCTGCTGGGGACCCCCAACAGCACCCACCCTTGGGACAGCTACCCCCTAGGCAGCCCTACTCTTTCCTCCTGGGAAGTGGGAACCCGCTTCCACTCTGCTGGCCACTCAGCCCCGAGTAAGGCCCTGCCGGCCCAGCCAGGCAGGGAGAACAGGGAATAGTTAGAAATTTAATAAAGTTCACCTTATAAATTACAGCAGCAACCCTGGGGCTCTCTCGGCTGCCCCACAAGCAAAGAGTTGGTTCAAGTCAGGCAGCCGCCGCTGCAACCGCGGCCTGAGCTTGGGGGACTGTGGAGGTGACCAGTGGGCCAGCACTGCACCGCCTCCAGGCTGGCCGCGGGGCAGCAGTGGGAACTGGGCAGTGGCTGGTGAGCTGGCGGGCACACCGGGCACAGCCACCGGGCGACTCAGTCAGTCCAGGCTGGCCATGAGCAGGTGCAGCTCGCGGAAGGCACTGCCGTGGCGGCCGCTCAAGACCGACTTGCTCCTGACCAGGCCGCTGATGCTCTTGAGCTGCTTGTAGCAGAGCCGGCACTTGTGTAGTCTGTGGGCAGAGCGGGGTTACCGAGCTGGCCAGCCGCTGGGTCCGACCCGGCCAGTCCTCGGAACCCAGACTCCCTCCCGCCCCACCCCTGAGCCCCGCTGCCCCACCGAGCCACCATCGGGGGTCTCTGGGCCTCACCTCTCCTCCCGGCTGATGTCCACGCCCACAGAAGGCGGGGCCGCCAGGATGTCGGTTATCAGAGGCAGGAACCGCTGCAGGATGAGCTTCAGGGAGGTGCAGCCCGTCTGCACGTAGCTTCAGGGGCAGATGGCGTAGCAGACAGAGCCAGGGGCACAAAGATAGCAGAGGCTGGGTCCGGGCAGCCCAGGATTCTCCTGCCAGCCTCCGGGACCCCGGCTGCCCACCCAGACCCACGCGGACTCGTGTTTCCCCATGCCTACCTTTCGTATTTGCTCTGTAGGAGTTTCTCGATCTGTGGCAGGACTGTGGTACACAGGTCCAGTTTCCACAAGGAGCTGGGGGAGAGGGTCCGAGACGTGTCCTCAGCGCCCAGCCCTGCCCGCCGTGCCCAGGCCCAGCACCGGCCACCTCCACTTACGCTTTCTGGTTGACGATGTTGAGGAGGTCCACCATCACCGACAGGTCGTTGATGGCCACGGCTGAGTCCACCGACGTCTGTGCAGACAGCAGACTCAGAGGGGCTGGCACAGGGCCCGGCCAGGCTGCATTTGGGCTTTGGGGGCGGGGGGGCGTAATGACCGAGCACCTATAACTGAGCCCCAAGCCACGGGAACTAGGTACCCGTGAAGGTGCTGGTGGAAGAAGCAAGATGAAGACAAGGGGTCCAGGAGACGGCACAGCAGCCGAGCGCCCGCCTTGCTGTGCAAAACTGAGCTTGATCCCTGGTGCCACCCATGTGCGCCAAGGAAGGTCCCAGGTCACCACAGTGCACTGTGTCCAGGAAGCGACACCGCACCGGAGCTACGGCCACAGCTGGGAAGTCAGCCTTGCCCACGAGTCTCATCCCCCCATCTGTGCAGCCCCCCGGAGCCCCAACAACTGCAGCAGGGCAAGGGGCAGGGACGAACGCTCCTGGGCAGCCCGGGCACTCGCCTTGATGTCGCCTGTGGTCCACACGGCCCGCACGGTGTCCAGGTTCTTGTGGCGGCTGGTGAGCACCACACACATGGTGTCGTGGCCTTTGCGGATCTGGGACATGGCGTCCTCGTCCACCAGCTCCGCCTGCTGGGGGCCCTTCACGGCCTGCTGAGGGGAGGGTCCTCATGCTGGCGGCCGCGCTTGCCCTCCGGGAGTGGGCCCACACCCCGGCTCCGCCCGCGGCCCCCACTCACGGGCAGGAAGTCGGAGGCCTTCAGCCCGATGGGCTCACTGCGGGCGGCAGGGATGACGGGGGGCTGGGCCTTGGGTGCAGGGGTGGTGGCCGCCTCTAAGGGCTGGGGCAGGACCTCGAGCTGGAGGCGTCCGGGGCTCTGTGGATGGTCAACCGGAGGCTCCCCCTCTGTTCCTGACCGAGAGGCCCTCCTGCCTCCCGGGCCAGCCCCCTGCCCCTGCCCCACCTACGTTTGGCACAGGAAGCTCCGGGTCCAGGGCAGGGTTGGGCTTGGCAGCCTCCTTTGCTGGGGCCACGTCTGGGGGCGCAAGGAGAGGGACATGGCAGTGAGTTCAGGTTCAGGTTCAGGGTCGGGGTCGGGGTTGGGGTCAGGGTGGGGCAGGCACTGGGAGTGGCCAAGAGAAGTGGCTGCTCAGCAGAGTCCTGGGGAGGTCTGAGGTTGGAGTGCAGTGTCCCCCTCCCCACTCACACGCAGGCCTGGCTGAAAGCATGGGTGCAGGCTGCATGCTGGGGCGGGGGGGGGGGGGGGGGAGATGCTGGATTGCCCGTCACTCACCCTCCTCGGGGGGTGCTGGGAAGGGCTCAGTCCTTCGGGGTGGGGTCCGACCTGTGGGGGGAAAGGGGCTGAGGGACCCAGCATGATGAGACCCAGGCTGGGGCCCAGGGCGCAGTCAGGATGGGGGCTCCCCGATGATGCTCGGCTGCAGGCCTGAGGCCCCATGACGTCCTGGGCCTGTCCCTCTGCCTTGCGACTTTGCCCTTGGCTTGGGGCTGGGGGGTGGGGAGGACGGAGAGGGGCCTCAAGGCCCAGGGAGCAGGGCTGGGGAAGCATGACGGGGGCGGGCTCGGGCAGGGCCGGGAGTGGGCCCAGCTCACTGATGCTCTTCTTGGGCTGGAAGATCTCATTGTAGTCCTCCGTATTCCGGATCTCGGCCCGCGACTCCCGCTCCTCCCGCTCCTCCTCGCTGCTGGGGCTGCGGCGCTCGCTCTCCGAGTTCCGCTTCACCCTGCAGGGGCAGACCCAGGTGGGAAGGAGGGCCGGGGTTGAGCCCCTCACCTGGACCCTATGGCTCCGCCCTCAAGGCACCGAGGCCCCGCCCCCAGCTCCGAGGCCCCGCCCCTGGCCCTACAGCCCCGCCCTGCGGCCCTGAAGCCCCGCCCCCACCTCTGAGGTTTGCTGCAGGTGGTGCTGGGCCGCTCATAGATGCGCCGCAGCGGGGCGCTGGGCTGGGGCGGCTGCGGCACCGGGGGCCTGCTGTCCTGTACGGGGTCTGAGGCCACCGTGCCCGTCCTGGTGACCCGAGTCAGGTCCACCACGTATGAGGACACGTTGCTCTGGGAGAAGGCCACGCCAATCTGCGGAGGGGAAAGCGTGGGTGCGGGCTGTCAGGGGCCGGGAAGGAGAGAGGGAGAAATGGGGCGGGGCCGAGGGGGGCGGGGTGGGCAGGGGGGTCAGGCCACTCTCACCAGCTGGTCGTTGCAGATGGCCAGGTCGGCCACCTTGCCCCAGCTGACCAGGACCACGTCGAAGCAGCGCTCCGGCTCCCAGCCGTACACCCGCAGTGAGTCCTGGCAGCCGCTGTACAGGCAGCAGCCGTCCGGGTTGAACAGGACGCTCCTGGTTGGGCGAGAGTGGCTGCTGCAGCTCCCCGGACAGCAGGCTGAGGGGTGCTCGGGACCCCTCCTGCCCGGCCGCCTCCTACCTGACAGGGCCGGGCTCCCCTTCGATGCAGCTCACCACCTGGAACTTCTCCAGATCCCAGAAACGAATCGTCCTGCAAACACGGCCAGTGTCCGCCTGCAGAACCCCCAGCCCCCCATCCCCCGCCCACCCTCTGAGAGGCCAGCGTCCCCCTGCTACACCCCTGTCCCCTGCCTCCCAGGCGACACACACACAGCCAGAGCAGAGAGAGGCCCTGGCCTCACACAGGTCTTAAAAGGCTGGGGTGGCCGAGCCATGTGGACACAGGCTACTGGGCAGATGCTGTCAGGAGGGCCAGGTGGGTCCTTGTGCGCACGCACACACACACACACCCGCACGCTCGCACACAGGTCCAGGGACAGCGGGGGGCATGGCCGCTGCCCGCGCTCACCGGTCAGCGCTGCCGGAGGCCAGGAGGTACTCGTTGGGGTGAAACTCCACCACAGTGACGGGCCCCGTGTGCCCGGGGAACTCGGACATCATCTTGCCGGCAGTGAGATCCCAGAGCTGGGGCGGGGCGGGCGGGGGTCAGGGCCAGGCCAGGGCGACCCAGGGTTTGACACAGGACCCGGCCGACCAGCTCCCTGCCCAGCCCGGGAGCTACCTTCACCGTGTGGTCGTCAGCGGCCGATGCCAACCACTTCCCATCGGGGCTGAAGCGGAGACAGCGCACGGCCTGGCTGTGTCCCTGAGGAAGGCAGAGCACCCACTTATACCTGGGGTTCCCCTCGCCCCCAGCCTGCTCCTCCCCCTGTGCCCCACAGCAGGGCCGGGGCTAGGCCACAGGCATCACTGATGACTCTGATCAGTTTGATCCTGTCCATGACAAAGGATCCAAACACCCCCACACACAATTCCCTGTAAACTCAGGGTCAGGAGCCCCGTCCCAGCAGAGGGTCCCGCTTCCAGCCCACTGACCCAGAGGACAGAGCACAGGGCAGCAGATGCGGCTCGGGGGGACTCCTTGGAAAGCGGGGTGGACCCCCCAGGTACGGCTGCCTAGGACCCTCCCTCCCATCCTCCTCTTTCCCACCGGGACTCCCGTTTCTCCCCAGCTGGAAAGAAAGAAACCCCTTGGCTTCCAGTCAGGGTCTGGGCACCCCCACCTGGGGGGCTCTGGGAAGGGCTGGCCGGGGCGTCCTTACCCGGTAGCGGAAGACACAACCTTTCCTTCGGATGTCCCAGAGCTGCAGGGAGAGAGGAGCAGGGGTGCTCAGGGGAGGTCATGCCCATGGGCACCTCAGGGACACACACCCACAACACCAGAGCCCAGACACGTTCTCTGAAGCCAGACGTTTTGAGCAGAAGCATCCGGCTAGCACCTCCCTGTCTTCTGGCCCCGAGAGGCCGTGGACACAGCGCTGTCCCCGCTGACCTGGGAGTTGGGGCTCACCTTGATGTTGGTGTCCTGGGAGCCTGAGGCCACGAACTCGCCATAGGGGTGGAAGTCCAGGCTGCAGATGTTGGCTTTGTGGCCCATGAGCGTGCGGAGGACTGGCAAGAAAATGAGCAAGTCGGCAGGGGAGGGGAGGGCGGGGGAGCACGGCCCGGTGACCCCGTGCAAGAGTCAACAGGGAAGGTCCAGCGACATGCATCAGCCCAGACTCCTCACACCGGGAACCACGTCTCCCGGAGCAACCATCCTGACCTGCCTTTCCAGCCCCCAGACTGGCTGACAGGGGGTCATCAGCGCACAGTTTAATTCTGACCGTCAGAGCGCTAAAAAGGTACACAGGAGAAGGAAAAAGTAATGAAGAAAAACAAAAGAAAAAAAAACCAAAGAGAGAAAAAGGAGGTACATAGAGGAGTCGGAGTGACAGTACAGCGGGGAGGGTGTTTGCCTTGCACACAGCTGATTCGGGTTCGATCCCCGGCATCCCACGTGGACCCCAGCCCCATTAGGAGTGATCCCTAAGCACAGAGCCAGGAGCCAGCCCTGAGCATCGCCAGGTGTGGCCCCTAAACAAGAAAGAAAAGGTACACGATGGCATGTGGATGCAACCTACTTCTTTTGCACACACAAAAAAAATTGCCTAGAATCTGTGATGATGATGCAGTGAACGCAGGAATCAACCAGGGTCCTCATTCCAACAACCAACACCCCTTTTTCTCCTAGGGGACAAACAGCCATTTGGGTCATAATCCCAGTCCCCAAACTTGCACCCAGCTTCTGCCCCTGGACTCATGCCAGTGCTTTCCCAAGGGCGAAGCCCCAGAACCAGTAGAGCCAGGTCACCCCGGCATCAGGGGCGGGCTCCGGGGACTGGCACCTGCCACATCAGGAGAGGGATGGCGGAGAGCTTCAACCTGGGGGAGGTGTTTGGTTAGAGAGGAATCCAGGAGGGCTTTATGGAGGTGACATGCAAGAAGGCAGTCAAAGGGTGGCCGAAGAGACCAGGCACCAGGCAGAGGACAGGTGCTCACCCAGACCCTGGACAAGGGATCTTCAGGATGGTGGTGAGGACAAGTGAGATCCTCTGAGGACCAAGGGAACTCAGGGATGGCAGGTCTGGGGCTTCTGACAGCATGGGTTAGGGGCTAGTCACTGCCAGATACCGAGGACCCCACAGACCCCCAAGGATTTGCCGACAGCTCCGTGGTCCCTGTCTTACTTTTTCAAGAACTCAGAGCCCCACTGTCTGAACGAGAAAGGAGCCGGGTTGCGGGAGGGGGCTCCCCGGAGGAGGCAGCATACGAGCCCACTGTGCGTCTGAGGTCAGTGGCTACGAGCACTGGATGAGCTAAAGGGTCGGGGGCTCTGTGACACCGAGTCGCAGGCAGTTAGGACTCAGCTGGAACACAGAGAGAATTGCTCAAGACAGCCCCAGCGGGCGCCACGGGGCACCTGAGTGTGAGCTGCAAGCCTCTGGCGCAGCGTGTCCCTGCCGGACCAGGAACGGAAGCCAGCAGGCGAGTGGCCTCCCCAACTCTGAGCCCAGCTCCCGGGCTTCCCAGAATGTGACGTGTACCTCAGCCCCCCCACGCACCCCAGCAGTGCCAGGGCCCACGAGGGCTGAGGCTCAGAGTTGGGATCTGGACGGCCTTTCCCCGTGTGCCTTTTCTGGGGTCAGCTCCTGAAGGCTCCCCAGGCGGGCCAGGCCCAGCTCCGCACAGGATCGAAGCTGCCCACCATGCCTGGAGGGCAAAGGTTGTCCCCATGCCCACTCCGACCCTGCCTACCCGAGACCCTTCGGGTGGCAGGCCCTGCTGGGCGCCCTTTACGCCGTCCACGGAGGGGACGAGACACTGGCCTGTCTGCTCAGTGAGCGTGACTCTCCCACCCTGAACCCTAAGCTGCTGCCCCTGACACAGCACTGGCTGCTAGCCAAGGAGGCCAGGCCAGGCCAGGCCAGGCCAGGCCAGGGCCAGGGCCAGGGCCAGTGCAGCCAGACCCTGCTGTCCACTCGGTCCACGCCGGCCCGGCCCATGGGTCCTAAAACCCCTGGGGAGCGTGCCTGCGCTGCCCTGCCCAGGAGGATGCTGGGGCAGTCGCACCCAGCGTGGGCCCAGCCTCAGGAAGCCCAGCCCGCCCCCGGCCGCCCAGAGCCGCAGGACCGCATTCTTCAGGCGTGACTTCCGCTCGTGCCCGGTGTCCTGTGACCCAGCAGGGCCCTGGGGAGCCTTCTGGTGCAGGAGGTCATCAGGGCATCTGTGGCAGGGGACCTCGGTATGTGTCTGGCCCTTGGGCACCTCAACACTCCCAAGGTGCCCCGGTGCTGCTGGGCAGGCGGCGGCGTGCCCAGGCCCTCCACCCAGGCTGCGGCAGGTGGGGGCGGCAGGGCCGAGCACTTCCTGCCAAGGCGCCAAGGGCGAGTTTCTCTCCCGTCGGAAAACCCTCCAAACTCAAGAGCACTGTGTGTGTAGGGGGGGGAGTGCAGGGGGTACTGGCCACCGGGAACCAAGCCTAGATCACCCTGGACAGCAGTCTGGTCTCTGCCCAACACAGGCCATCACATACGGGGGAGGGGGGGTCCTGCCCACCTGCTCTGCCCTGAACCCCTGGGAGCCTGTCGGCAGCCAGTTTGGGGACCATGTCTCGAGGGAACCCAGTTCTCTGAGCACTGGGCCTCGGCCATATGCCTGTAACGAGCTCCCGGAACTGTGGCCAGGCCTGGGGCGTCTGGAGCCATGGGGCTGCCTTTGCCGCCCACCTCGGGGAATTCCTTGCATTTCCCGAAGGGCTGGGACTTCGCTCTCGGGCCCCTTGCTCCTCAGGCCCCGGCCTGCCTCTGGGCCAGCACACAGCCTCCCACCCTGCCCTGCCCCGCCCCGCCCTGGCCGCCTGGGGCCTCTTCAGCTGGTCTGGGTTTCCCGTGGGGTCCAGTGCAGGGCTGTGTCTGCCATCACAGGTATCCAGAGGCCAGTCCCCTCAGGCTCCATCCCTGCCTGGGCAGACAACACCCAACAGGCCCCAGGTACCACTCTCCTGAGACCCACCCCCTGCCCAAATGACACTCTTCTTCTTGTTTCTTTTTGCTCAGTCCTGTTTTTTTTTTTTTTTTTGGGGGGGGGGGAAGGTCTCCAGAGTGCCTGAGGGACCTAGTGGCCACTGCTGGCAACTCTTGGACAACTAGACCCAAAGGTTCTGTGCTTGGGCACTGCAGGGCCAAGGGCAACCAGGCCACCCTGGTGGTGGACCTCCAGGGTCCCATTAGGTACTACCCAGGGAGGGGACCGGGGTCCCTGTATTCTCTGTTGCCTGAGACCACGTGTTTTGTTCTGGTTTGGGCCACACCCGGCCGTGCTCAGGGGCTACTCCTGGCTCTGTGTTCAAGGATCACTGAACAGCTCCATGGCCATATGGGATGCCATGGGGGACCAGAGGGGATGCTGGGGACCGAGCCCGGATCCGCCAAAGCCAGGAAGGCATCCTACCCACTGCACTATCACTCCGGCCCAAGACCGCTGTTGCACGAGAACAGCGTGGAGCCACACATCTGTGGCTGATGTCCTGTGGCAATGGCAGAGAGACCGGCGGACACATGCCGGGAAAAGGCGACTCGGCAGGACCCCAGGCCCTCTCCTGAGGAGCCTCTGGGGTGTGCCGGGGGCCCAGACAGGAAGTCGCCCGGGACTGCGGCGACGGGGAACACCCGTGGGGGCTGAGAAGGGTCCCCCCACGGTGAGACTCCACATCTGCCGGCTGCTGAGCTCATGAGTTTACAAACGGCAAAACCCAGCCAGGCCCGAGATGAAGGAAAACGGTCGACTCACCCCGAGCTCGAGCCGAGGGAACTTTGGACGTGGGGACAAAGAGCCCACAAGGCTGCGAGGGCGGGGGCAGGGACAAGGAAGGGGAGGCATTGGAGGGGCCAGGCCGGTGTCCAGTGGGCCTAGACACACAAGCCAGGGCTGCTGCAGCTTCCAACGGCTGAGGAAAAGGGTTCTAGATCTGGACTCAAAAAAAAGCAAAGAAAACTGGAAGGGGTCGCATAAAGGTGCGTTCAGGCAGAAGCTTGGAACACCCACACCTCAGCCTGGGACGCTCAGTCCCCCTCTGGCTGAGAGAACTCAGGGTTAAGTGAGTTTAAAAGAGAGAGAGAGAGAGAGAGAGAGAGAGAGAGAGAGAGAGAGAGAGAGAGAGAGAGATTAAAAATAAAAATAAAAAGGTGCAGGTGAGAAAAGAACAATTATAGCCGCAGGGAAACCAGGTGATGAGGAGGAAGGAAATAAGGTGGGTGAGGAAGAGAAGCCACGAAACGGTGGCAAAGCCACACCAGGAGACGAGGCCCAGATGGAGCTGGGCCACAGGATAAGGTCGGGACGTGGGAGGCGGGGGCCTCGGGGAGGGGGCAGGGGGGTCTCTCCTGGGCATCTCAGACCAGTGTCGGGGGTCAGGGGACAGCAGGCACCTACTTTTGGCAGCTTCCAGGTCCCAGACGCGGATGGACCCTGACTGGGAGCCGGCCACGACCAGCTCCTCGGGGGTGTTGAGGCGGACACTCTCCACGGGGGACGTGTGGCCTGTCAGGCTCTGCGGACAGAGGGCGGCGGCTGCAGTGCTCGGTGTTCCCGGCCCCCGGGGGTCTCCTGCAGAGGCAGTCTCACCCCTCCCCCACCTCCTACGGGCCCTGACCACTTCCCACCGTGCTCCTGACCAGGGACACCCTCACCGACCCCCACTCGCCGGCTCCCGTCCCTCAGGAGGGGAAACAGGGGTGGACGGAGACACAGCCACGGCTCTGGGTGCAGAATTAGAGCTGCTGCCACTGGGGGGGGGGGGGGGGGCGGGCCTGGCCTCCTTCTCCCAGGCAGGTCACCAGCTCAGAGTCAGCCCCGCAGACCCCCGGAGGCATTTCATTTCAGGCTCTCTGGAGAGACCAGGCCCAAGCACGCCAAGCATAAATCATCTGAGTGCCGAGCCAGGAGAAATTCCTGAGCATCCTGAGCACTGTGCCACTGTGTGGCCCACTGCAGACCACCAAAAAGAGAGAAAAGCTGTGAGCAAAACGGAATTCCTGTCCTTGAGTTGCCCAAGGGCACTGGGAGAGGGCGAAAAGGTAAGGAATCAATGAATGTGGCAGGATAGTACAGCAGGTAGGGCATTTGCCCTGCACGTGGCCAACCTGGGTTCGATCCCAAGCATCCCATAGGGTCCCCTGAGCACCACCAGGAGTAATTCCTGAGTGCGGAGCAGGAGTAAGCCATGAGCAGGGCTGTGTAAGGCCCCCAAACTAAAACAAACAAATAAAAAAGGAGTGAAACAAGATTTAAAAAAAAAAATGCTACGTGGGACCTGAGCAATAGTATAGTGGGTAGGGTGCTTCCCTTGCCCATGGTGTGATTCCCAGCATCCCATATGGTCCCCAGCATCCCATATGGTCCCTGGGGCCTTCCAGGAATAATTCCTGAGTGCAGAGCCACGGGTAAGCTGTGAGCATCACCAGGTGTGCCCCCATCCCCTAAACAAAACAAAACAAAAAACTCCATCGCACTTTTAGCAGGGGGCATTTGGAAGGCCCCCGCTCAGTGCTTCGGGGTCACTCCTGATGGTGCTGGGGGCCCGTGTGGTGCCGTGGATGGAAGCTGGGGCTCCCACGTGTGAGACCCGGTCTCACTAGGCCTCCCTGCGTCTCCCTGGCTCTCTAGCCTGTTCTTGGCATCAGCTGTGGTTCAGGCCAGAGCTCAGTTCTTGGCTGGGTCCCCCGAAAACACTGTGGTGGGGGGCTAAGTTTTAATTATTCTCATCTTTGCTCAGTCCAGGACCCAGAGACTGGCCATTCCTTCCGCCGCGAGGCTGGAGGGAGGGCGGAGGCTGATCGATATCCGGAGGGCCCTTTTGGCAGCGTGTCCGCAGAGCTCTCAGGGGAGGAGCACTCAGAGCTCACGGGATGAGCGGGGATCTGCTCTGGGATGCAGGGCCGGCTATTCACTGCCATGCCTCAGCAGAGCCCCAACTTCCGGCTCGAGGGCCGGCGTCACAGGCCCGGCGGACAGGCAGGGTCGAGCACCAGCACGGGAGCAGCGCTCACAGCCCCGAGGCCCTGGAACGCCAGGCTCCAGAAGCATGAGTCTCCGGCAATCACGAGCTGTGTGCCCCCCAAGCGTGTGCCCGCGTCTGCAGGCGCATCTGGGCGTGCACACGTGTGCGTACAGCTGTCTCAGCAGCAGCGCCGTGCAGGGACCCGGCTGTGGCCCAGACCTGGAACCCTGCATGGCTGTGTTCTGTTTTCCTTCCTCTCTGTCTTGGCTCGGTAAAGCAGCTCTGCGCACTGCACGCAGGGGCGTGGCGGGGGAGGGCACCCGGAGCGCAGCTCGCCAGCACCAGGCAAGCTCGGTCCTTTGGTAGAACGAGGTGGGAAGGGATGGAAATAAACCTCCCTGTATATATAGCTCACTGGAAGCCCGGGACTTCTGCCCACGGCCAGGTGGTACCCGACTCCTCCTGAGGGCTGGGCGCTCTCCCCACTACCCTGGGGGCGGCGGCACTGATGCTGTGCTCGGTGCCCCCCGCCCCCGCCCCCAAGCCAGGCCCCCAGGGAGCAGGGAGTCCCGGGCCCACCAGACCCAGCCGTCACCCCCACCCCGTCCCCAGCCACTGCTGTGGCACGGCTCACCATGATGCAATTGGGTTTGTTGATGGACCAGAGGTTGACCCGGCAGTCATCTCCGCCCGTGGCCAGCAGCCGCCCGGACGCCTTGCCCAGCACCAACGAGGACACATTGCTGGCGTGGGCAACGATCTCCTCTGTGGGGAAAGAAGGGCAGAGAGAGAGAGGCGTTAGGGGGGCTAAGTGGGGCACAGGCAGAGGGGTAGGCCTCGCCCGCTCACACCCCGCTCAGCAACGGCCGCTGACCCTCCAGCTGCCCGCTGGTGCCCAGACGCCCCTGGTGGGCTGCAGGGCCACAGACAGGGTGGTGCTCGGGACGGAAATGACCCTCTCAACATGGTCACTCCTGTTAGTTTTTTTTGGGGGGAGGGGGCAGAGCCAACAGGTCTGAAAAGCACATCATAATTTTCCTATGATGCAAAGAGAAATGAAAACAATCGCTAAAATAAAGAAAGTAACCCACGGACCAGCTGAGTGGGCCCCCTGCCATCTTTGGGGACCAGGCGCGTCAAGGTAGAACCCGCTGTCCGGGCACGGGAGCTTTCCTGGCCATGGTCTGTCACTGCAGGCTGTGTTCTGTCTGGAAAGGGGCCCAGAGCACCGGCCCACGGGGTCGCAGTGTGGGCTGGGTGCCCCGGGGAGGTAACTCAGGGTTGGCTGCCATGGAGACAGGGACCCAGTGCCCGGGAGGTGGCTGGGGAGGGACCAGAGGCGGAAACCCTATTTCTAAGTGAGAGCACAGATGAGACAAAGGCCATTGTGGGCAGCCACCAGCTTGGGTGCCTGGCCGGGAGGAGCAACGTCAGTGCTCCTGAGGGCACAAAGGTGGACAAGGAGGCACTGAGAGGGGCCGGAGTGACAGTGCAGCTGGGAGGGCATTTGTCTTGCACGTAGCCAACCCGGGTGCGATCCCTGGCTTCCCATATGGTCCCCTGAGCACCACCAGAAGCAATTCCTGAGTGCAGAGCCAGGAGTAACCCTGACTATTGCCAGGTATGACCCAAAAAGCCAAAAAAAAAAGAAGGCACCAAGAGGCAGTCAGGGCAGTCAGTCCCCCGTAAACAGCCTGGGGGAAGGGCAGAGGAAGCCCCCTTGCCCGCGGGCCCAGGGCAGCCCAGGAAGCAATGTAGCCAGCAGCCTGGCCCAGAGGGGATCCTGCCCAGGCAGATGCTCAGCACCACCCGTCCCCGCAAGGCTGGGAGCTCCCAGCGGGAGTGCTCAACCAGGACCCCACCGCCCGCATTCAGGGGCCGGGCCCTGTCCCATCCGCATCTCAACCGAGGAACGGCCCATCCGTCCTCTGGGCATGGCAGGGGCATGGTTTGGGGTGCTCTGGGGTTCAGCTCTCCACCCAAGCATCCCCGCACGCACACCTGCCTCCTGGGGCCTCAGAGGACCACCGCACCTGGGGTCAGCCATTACTCCGTGACACACAGGATGAGAAGGAGGGAAAGGGGAAAAGTCCCTCACACTTCAGCCCAAGGCCCGGGGCCTGGGGTAGGGTGAGAAGGATCTGGAGGCGAGCCCCAGGTCACCCCCAGGCAAGGGGCTCACTGGGGCTGGCGAGGAATGGGAGGGAAAGAGCTGGCAGAGGCCGGACACCGTGGGTGCTAGTCCCAGAGTCCCCCACACCTGGTCCAATGCCAACATCAGTCCGCCCCACATCAGTTCCCCAGGCTCAGAAGACTCATCTCGGGCCCCATGTGCCAGCCCGAGCCGAGGAGGTTCCAGAAGGGACACTGAGGACCAGCATCGCCCTCGGAGGTGCAGGGGCCCAGCTGCAGAGAGCAGCAGCCAGAAGCTACCATACTGCAGGCGTGGTCAGCAGATGTCTGATTCAATCAGTCCCCTAGTGGCCAGGCCAGAAGCGCCAGAGGGGCCGGGTAGCTATGGGCAAGCACCCCCCACGACCTCCACAGCCCCGTGAGGCAGGACAGTCTCTCACTGCTGGCTCCTAAGTCTGGCCTCTCTCGAGCCTTCCCACACCCAACTGCCGGCTCGACTCCAGGGCCTTTGCATGCCCCTCGCCGGGTGCAGTAGCCAGTTGCCGGGTTCAAGCACACGCCCCGCCTCGGTGGGAGATGCAGGGAACAAGATTACCTAGCTCCTTCCCTCCCTGAAGTCAGCCCACGGTACATCTTGCCTGCACCCCCACCCCCACCCCGCACACCCCTCCCACATTTTCTCCAAGGCAGCACCACCCTGGTTCTACGCTCAGGAAAGAACCCACTGTTGAATGGACAGGCCCGTAACAAACCCCCCAACCCCACATCAAAGCGCAAAGTCACTCTCCAAACACCCGTTCTGGGGCTGCAGCAATGATACAGCAGGGGCAGGTAGGCTGACCCCCGACACCCCACGCGGTCCCCAGAGCCCACTCAGGAGTGATCCCTGAGCCCAGAGCCAAGAGTCAGCTCTGAGGGCTGCAGGGAGTGGCCCAAAGACCAAAAAATAAAGTATCCCCTCCATGAGAACTTACAATGAGGGGCTAGGGAGATAGCACAGCGGGTAGGGTGTTTGCCTTGCAGAACCAGGAGTAATCCCTGTGCATTGCTGGGTGTGACCCAAAAAGCAAAAAAGAAAGAAAGAAAGAAAGAAAGAAAGAAAGAAAGAACTTACAATGGGCCTCCCGGAACTACAAGGTACAGAGCTCTTAGGAACAATGTGAAATGGCCCAAACCTCTCACTTTTCACAACCCCAAGGCCCAGCAGAGAGTCACAGCTGAAGGTGGTGTGGCCGCCCCCTGCCGCTCCCTGCTCCTGCAAACAGCTCGGGGATACATGGGCAAGAGGGTAGCCAGTGTGAGACACGCTGAGGTGAGGCTTCAGAGACCCCCACAACATGCGGGACAGCAGTTCTCAAATAGGCGACCAGGTAGACCCCCTTGGGGTCATCCCCTGGGTCCCCTCAGGGGCCCAAGAGATTGAGACTGTTCTCAGGAGACTGTAGAGGCGGCTGAGCCTTCCTTTCGTTCTCTCCCGGGCTCACAGCACATAGGGCTGCCCAGAGGACACGTGGCATGCGATGCCATCACCACCGGTGGCATGCTTGCATGGCCTCGGGTATTAAGAGCACCAGTATTGGGCCGGGGTCATAGTAGAGCAAGCAGAGTGCTTTGCCTTGCACGTGGCTGAGCCGGGTTCGATCCCCGGCATCCCCTATGGTCTCCCCCCAGCACCGCCAAGGAGTGATCCCTGGGTGCAGAGCCAGCCCTGAGCATCACCGGTGTGACCCCCAAACAAACAAAGAAAAAAAGAGTGGTAGTCTTCATTCCTAACAGGGGACACACTGAGTGGACCAACTCCCCTCAGCACAAAGCCTTGGAGGGTGCCCACACTTTCTAACAGGACAGAGTGACCCTCAGCTCAGAGTGCGGAGGGAGGTAGGGGTGTCCATGCCCCCTCGCATTCCACGCTCTGATTCCTCTACATCCCTCTGCCCTCGTCCCAGTCCTGGAAGGTCCTCTACTGAGGGTGAAACATGACGTTTTCACAGGACATGGGCCGGAGGCATTGGGATGGGAGGGGTGGCGTGGTGGGGGGGGGGGGGTGTTAGGGCACTGGCCTAGTTAAACCCCCAGCCCCGCCTCTGGTCTCCCAAGCACCAGCTGGAGTCAGCTCCAAGCTCTGCCGTATGTGGCCCCCAAACTGGTAAATACAAGATGCTGGGACACCCTTCGGGGCTGCTGTCCCAGTCCCCCTGTGCATCGATAAGCACACTGTGTCCTGCACTCAGCCTGACACCTCGCTGGCACCACCCAGCCACTCGAGAACGCGCGTGTGTGATGATCTCACAGTGCAGACGGGAATCAGGTCAGGGAGGTTAAGTCACCCTCCCCAGGTCACCCAGCAAGGAAAGACCTGCCGTGCCTCTTGCTCCATCTCTGAAGCCCGCCCCAGAGCCGCAGACAGGAGACAGCCTAAGGGAACAGTGAGTGGAGAGAGAAAAACACCGGGGGGAAAAAAACACTCACGCAACTTCCACGCTGTCTTGGTGACCACAGGGGTGGCCATCCTTCAGCTGGCCGGAGCCCCCTGCAAAGTAGACGGTGCTTTCCTCCTGGGGTGGGGGCGGGTCCCCCCCAGATCCTCCAATCAAGTTGGTAGGGAGTTGTCACACATTCAGGCAGAGGAAATGCCTCGGCTTGTCTCCCGCCCGTGGACCACCTCGTGGTCCTAGACCGGCCACAGCAGCAGCCGATGTGCGTCGGTCCAGAGTCTCAGATCATGGGATGTCAGGCTTGAGCCATGTCAGTTCCACGGGGCTGGAATGCACAAGAAGAGGGGCTTGTCAGCGGACAGTCCCCACAACCTGGGGGTAGGGGGGCTGCAGTTGCCCCTCCTGAGGTCCCCATGATACCATGAGCAAAAGAGAGACTCCACCCTACCCCCGGACGGGATCCAGGGGCGGCATTATAAGCTGGTCTGCAAATCTGGAGAAAGGCCACCACTGGCCCGGGGGGAAAGCAGCGTCCCCGAGGGCCAGGAAGCAGGGTCCCGGAAGCCGGCTTGTCATCATCAGTGCAGTAGACGCAGCAGCCCGGGGAGGCCTCGTGTCTGCAGTTCAGATTTCTGGGAGTCACTGTTTTGCATGACGTAAGGGAACGGGGTGGAGTCCGGGGCTCAGGGACCCATGAGAGGCATCCCAGGAACAGGCAACTAAAGCCTCTCCAGGAGGAGAGTCTCTAAGATTAGAGCTCTCAGGACCCAGCCCCCCTCCAGCATGTGGCAGGGCAGCTCGTCCGGGGTGGTCCCCGCAGTTCCCTGTGCTGGGAACGGGTCCCCAGGCTGCCTGGGAGGGCTGCCTCCTTCCAAGGGCCACTGGCGGGGCCGCCTTCCTGCGTCCCCCACAAGCCGCTTCCCACCCCCCACTCCCGGCCTTCTCCTCTCTTCCCAGCGCCCCTCTTCTGCGTCCCCTTTCCCTTCTCGCAGTCGCCAGCGCCCCCCGTTCCTGCACCTCTGGGCTCCCTCGGCTGGCCCCTGCGAGCCCCCTTTCTGGAATCAGCATCCCCATTCATTCGCCCTCCTGCTCCCGGTGTCCATCAGCCGTGCCCCCTGCAGACCACCCGGCTCCACTTCCGGCCTCCGGGCTGGCCCCCCTCCAGCCCCCACGCCCGCCCACCCGTCCCGTCCCGAGGCTGGCGCTGAGCTCCCGGCCTCGCCGGACCCTCCCAAGCCGCAGCCTGTGGGGCACAGGCTCCAGCCTTCCCACGCCCGGCGCCCTCTCCGGCCCAGACCGGTCGCCCTCCGCCGGGCTCGGCCCGGCCCAGCCCATCCTCGCGTCCCTTCCTCGCCCCTTGCCCACTCCACCTGCAGCGGCGGCTCCGGAGGCCGAGGCTCAGCTCCAGACGCGACCCCCACTTGCCTCCATCCCCGGCCCTGATTGGCCGCTGCTTGACAACCGAACCCTCACAACAAAACCTCCGGCCTAGAGACCCGCCCCTTCACCTTCTCCGCCAATTACCAGCCGTGGGCGCCCCGCCTCCCGCCAGGCTTGGCCAATCGATGCAGGCTCTTGTGCCGCTTTTCTAAAGTACCCGCCCCCTCGTCCTGAATTGAACGAATCAGGAGACAGGAGCCGTCAAGCACCGCCCCTCGGTCTCTGAAGAACCAATGCGGGCTACGTTTTTTCCGGGTCCCGCCTTCGCCCCAAAGCTTTCCCTTTCCTCCTCTTTTTCGTCCCTCCCTGGAGCTAACTCGGCGCTTCAAAAGAATTTGCGAGACGCCCTCCAATGAGGCTGCACCAATCACGTCCAGAACCGTGCTGGCTTGACCAATCAGCGTCCGTCTTATTGAAACCCCACTTGCCAGCGACCCAATGGGAAGGGGACGTGGGGAGCAGCGCGAAGCCGCGTTCGCCATCTTGGAGTGGGGCGAAACGAGGACGCGCCCTTAGTCAGCGATTTGCCGGTTTCCCCTTTGCTCGCGGTGGAGCCCCCTTGGCGTGAGGACTTTGCTCTCCCTCTCGGGCTGCGCCGCCCGGGAGTGGAACGCGGGGATGACTCGCGGGGCACGGGAGAGCCTGGTCCCGGGTCTTTGTCCGCCTTGATTTCGGCTGGGCAGATGAATGAGTCGGCTGCCTCGTGGCCCCGCCCCGGGGTACCCTACTTCGTCGGAGGATGGGTTAGAGCTCAGGGAAGGACTCGCATCGCCCAGAGTCTGGGGTCCACGGACGCCGCCTCTGGGGTCAGGCCTTGACCCTCTGGGCCAGGACCCTGGACACCAGCCCCTCTACACCCCAGTGCCCTGCACAGGACAGCCCTCTGCAGGTCGAGATCCCGGCCTCGCACCCAACGCTCACGTTGGCGGTCACAGTAGGAACTTCAGGCAGATCAGGAGGGGCCCTAGGAAGGTAGTTATGCCCCCGCCCCACCACCACTGTCACCTTCCCTCCACCTTTGTTCCCATTTTTCCAACAACCCCTCCTCCAGCCTGTGTAGCCGGCCCAAGGTGATGTATTTTCGGGGAAATAAAACTTAAATCTGACAGCCCCGAAGTAGCCCAAAGGCACGAAGACCACAACCCCCCCCCCTTTTTTTTTTTGCTTTTTTTGGGTGACATCCTGCAATGCTCAGGAGTTACTTCTGGCTCATGCACTCAGGAATTACTCCTGGCAGTGCTTGGGAAACCATATGGGATGCTGGGGATCAAACCTGGGTTGGCCGCGTGCAAAGCAAACGCCCTACCCACTGTACTATCACTCCAGTCCCGACCACAACCCTTTGACATGCAAATCCTGAGCTGCTGGGAGCGGAGAAATGGGGGATACCACCCAATGCAGAAATCCAAGGCCCCAACAGTGGACCCCTCAGAAAGGAAGAAGCTACAGAAGAATCTGAAGCTCAAGATGAGAATGTTCAAGGCCCTTAAGAGTCCAACGGTTGCCTTGTGACAACAGCCAGATTACAGATTAATTTTTCTGTAAGCAGGAAAAAGTCCTGGCCAAGACAAGTTGGAGGAAGTATATACAACCTCCCCAAAGCTACTGGAGGCTTTTTCCCCGTCGAGACAGACCTGGACCATCTGTGCTAATGTGAAGACCAACTTTCCTTTTCCTACCAAGAATAATCCCTCCCTCCAGCCTGTGTCCACGGCTCCTTGAGGGCTTGGGTAGTGGGCACATTCCAATGCTGTGTAGATGGAAAGGGTTTCAGACACAGCTTGGAGGGCTGGTGGGACATGAGCGCCCTGCTGCTGCATGGATGCTCCACGCCTGGCATTTTCCTGGATGGCCTGTTTTCTTTCTTTTCTTCTTTTTTTTTTTAATTTTATTGAATTACCATGAGATAGTTACAAGCTTTCATGTTTGGGTTACAATCACACAATGATCAAACACCCATCCCTCCACCAGTGCACGTTCCCTACCACCAATATCCCCCCCTTTCCCACCCTTCCTCTGCCTCCATGGCAGACAATATTTCGCATACTCTCTCTCTACTTTTGAGCATTATGGTTTGCAATACAGACACTGAGAGGTTATCATGTTTGGTCCTTTATCTATTTTCTGCACACATTTCCCATCCCAACCGGTTCCTCAAGCCATCATTTTCTTAGTGATCCCTTCTCTATTCCAGCTGCCTTCTCCCTTTTGCTCATGAGGCAGGCTTCCAGCTATCGAGCAATCTTCCTGCCCCATATATCTACTATCCTTAGGTGTCAGCCTCATGTCCAGTGGCTGTGTTCTTAAGCCTCCCTCCCCTGCTTCACACTTCACCCAAGTCACATGCATCCCCTGGCAGTGGGCATCAGGAGCCTGCAACAGAATTTGCAAGCCCCTATCCTGCCTTCTGGTAGGACACTGCAACAAAACAAATCTTTGCCTACCAGCCAATCTGTGTTCAGATTCTCTCTGTCAACCGGAACATCTTTTTAGGGTTTTTTTGTTTGTTTCTTTGTTTGTTTGTTTGTTTTTTAGCCATACCTGGTGGTGTCCAAGGCTTGCTGCTGGCTCTGTGCTCAGGAATCATTCCTGGAGGGACTCGGGGGCACCATATGGGGTGCCAGGGGTTGGACCCAGGTTGGCTGCATGCAAAGAAAGCGCCTTAACCGCTGTATTATGGTTCTGGCCCCAACCCAGAGATATACTCAATGATCTTGAAACGCTTTTGTTTTTGCTGCTGCTCTTATTTTCCTTTTTATTGCTGTGGCTTGTGCTTTCTTACATTTCCAGCCCTCTGGTGATCCCCGCCCATCCTTCCCACGCCTCACTAAGGTATCTGCCTAAAATCCAAGGAAGCCAGTAAAAGACAAATGGTGCTTGCTTGAGACCAAGGAACTGCAATTTGGGGCACACGCCCTCAAATCTAAAATGTGTCCCAAAGGTTTCAAGTGGGCAGAGAAAAGAGTTTAGTTGGTTATAGAGTCATACCTCCAGCAAAAATCCAACCAGTGATTTGCTGGATGGTTGCTTAAAACAGCCTGGGTCTGGGCACAGTCCAAAGGCATCTGATGTCGTTCAACCAGACAGATCACGTAGGTTTTCTGTAATGGCAGCTTGGCTCCATTTTTAAAATGGTTCCTCAATTCGCACAGGAAACAGTCAGATTCAATATATTTGGCTCTTAAATTTATTCCAGTCTTTTTTTTTGGGGGGGGGGGTTGTAGGTGGGGAAGGTTTTTGGCCACAGGAATCACTCCTTTTGGGGACTGGAGGGGCTCCATATGCACTATTGGGACTCAAATCAGGGTTGGCTGCATGCAGAGCAAGTGCCTTGCCAACAGTACTCTTTCTGGTTCTAAACCATTTATTTTTGGTTTTGTTTGGGCTGCACCCAGTCGAGCACAGGGTTACTCCTGGATCAGTGCTCAGGGATTACTCCTGGTGGGCTTGGGGGACTATATGTGTTGTAGAGGATTGAACCCATGTTGGCCACATGCAAGACAAGCATCTTACTCTGAACTATTAATCCGGACCCCATTTTTTTTTTAATAACATTGATATTCTGAAAAGATCAAGAAGTTGACCCAAGCATGTGATGATCTGGTCTGATAATGACCATCTAGTTTTGCTTACTCTTCAGTTCTTGTATTTCTTCCTTTCTTTTTTAAAAAAAAAAATTCTTATTTTGATCCTGTTCCTCTTCCCCTGTATGTCTTGGTAAGTGGAAGTTAAAGTCTGATTAGATTCATGACAGCTTCTTAGAAGCACTTTGCTGTGCTTTTAAGCACATACACACATACGCACATCCCAAAGGGCTCTCTTAAGTATATAAAGATGATGAGTTTTCACAAACTGGGCATACTCAGGTGAAGAAGAACATGACCAAGGGCCAGTGAGATGAGTATGTAGGAGGTCCAGGTTTCATCCCCGGCATCACAAGGTCTCCCACAGCCCTAAAAAAAATCAATCAGGAGCGCAGAGGTTAGTCTGACGCTCCCTTCTCCCACTAACCCTCACACCCTACTGTCCTGACTTCTAATACTGCTTAGCTTGGTGTGTTTTTGTTCTTGATATAAATGAAATCATACAAATATAATTGTTTTTACATCTGGACTTGATACTATGTTTGAGAAATCCATCTGGTGTGGATAACAGAAGTGAAGTGGGGTGTTAAACCAGGCCGAGATCTCCCCAGAGGAATGACACAAAGACAAATTGCGATGCAATAACAGAGGGTCTTTATTGGCTAGCTCGAGCTAGGACCCTTGTCCGGCTCACCGACACAGTGGCAGCCTGCTCAGAACAAGCGGCCCCGAGTCTCCAAAGTGAGGGGCTTTTATACCATAGCATTATATAACAGGGACTTTTTGCAGACCACCCTTTTGGCCGCAGTCTTAGAGGCTTTCCATTACTTGTACTTAGCTGCTTGGTTATAAGTTGGAGTTACATAGGGGTTGCCTAAGAGATACATAAGGGTTATGGGGGGGGGGGGGGGAGGCTTTCCTACCTGCATCCGATTGGTAAAAAGGTAAAAAGGTAAAGGCCCTCCCATTGATCATGGACTTGCTCAGGCGGGCCCAGTAACGTCTCCATTGGAGACTTTGTTGTTACTGTGTTTGGCATATCGAATACGTCACGGTGAGCTTGCCAGGCTCTGTGCCGTGCGGGCGAGATACTCTCAGTAGCTTGCCGGACTCTCCGAGAGGGGGGGAGGAATCGAACTCGGGTCGGCCGTGTTGGCTGCGTGCAAGGCAAACACCCTACCGCTGTGCTATCGCTCTAGCCGATTGGTAACCCTTAGTTAACCTCACCATGGCTATCTCACGTCGGGGAAATCATGACTCAGTTCCAGGTCTCTGCACTCAATTTCAGGAATTCTCATAATTCTCAGGCTTCCTCTGGCTCCTTTATGAGCCTGTCATGGCGCTGCCTTTGCTTTCTCTATTTCTCACTGTGAAGGGGCACAGAGCAGTCGCCTGGAGGGGGAGTCTCTTGCTGCCCTCTGTCCACCTCAGACACCTGGGGCAGTGCCCGAGGAAGTTTGGACTAATGAAGACAGTCTGCTATGAACCCCTGCATGGCATAGATGCATGTGGCCCACACGGCAGTCAGCAAACTGGCCCTGAATTCCCTGTGGTCAGCTTGCTACGGGAAACGACCCAGCCACCAAGTCTGCGGGGAGCCATGGACTCAGGCTAGGGCGAGGAATTGCTCCTTGTAGAAAAATAAAAGTTACGCCGTCAGCAGGTCAATTTGTACCTGTGAGGCGAGTGCATCAGCAGCCTGATGGCACTTTCAGACTTCCAGATACCCCAAAATTGCTGCTGTGCCTTTGGCCAGACCCCAAAAACTTGGGGCAAAGTTTACCAAGAAAGTAGACGGCCAAAAATTAGGTATGTGGGAGACACACCCATAAACCACCTCAGGCTCAGCTATATAATTGGAGGCATGGCCTCTCTGGTTCCTGATCTTAACGGCCATGATCCCAGAAACTCAGAAACAAATCTCGAAACCCAATGGCTTTTGGCAGAAATGCGTCCAGTTCCTGCAGTAGGTTACCGGCGCTGGGCCACCCCAGGTGGGAATAGATTTCGTGCCTTGGCCTGTTCCCCCTGGCGACACAGTGGCCATCATCCTCCAGAGGCCACTGGACAGTCAGGTTAGGGCCCGCAGTGATGAGACACGCGGGGCCTCACGGGATGGGGGTGGATCTGGTCCTTTCCTCCCCACCCCAACGAGACCCCAAGTTGCCACCCATGTACGGCTTCTATGGCTCCTGATCAAGCTGCTTAACGGCCATGATCCCAGAGACTCAGAAACAAATCTCAAAACCCAGTGGCTTTTGGCAGAAATGCGTCCAGTTCCTGCAGTAGGTTACTGTCGCTGGGCCATCTCAGGGGAGAAAGGGTGCTGTCCCTCCGCCTGCTCCCCCTAGGCGGCTCAGTGGCCACCATCCTCCAGAGGCCATTGGACAGTCAGGTTTGGGCCTTCAGTGACGAGACATGTGGGGCCTACGGGATGGGGGTGGAACCGGTCCTTTCCTCCCCACCCCAATGAGACCCCGAGTGTCCACCTACGAACAGCCTCTATGGCTCCTGATCAAGCTGCTTAACGGCCATGATCCCAGAGACTCAGAAACAAGTCTCAGAACCCAGTGGCTTTTGGCAGAAATGCATCCAGACCCTGCAGTTGGTTACTGTCGCTGAGCCACCCCAGATGGGAAAGGATGTTGTCCCTCCGCCTGCTCCCCCTAGACGGCTCGGTGGCCACCATCCTCCAGAGGCCACTTGACAGTCAGGTTTGGGCCTGCAGTGATTAGACACTGTGGATGGGGCTTAAACCTCAAAGGCCTTCGTGCTTTGGGGCTGTGCTGTCCCTCATATGCATAACCAGCAACCCCCCGCCCCCCGCCCCACTCCCCTCTGCTGGCAGTCCATCCCTGTCATTACAGCCGTACTCCCTTTTTCCACGGAGCAGTCACGGGCGCACAAACCCTCGAGAGGCCCAGTCTTGGTGTCTGGTGCTTTAGTCTGGGTATCACACTGCGGCATTGTTCTTCTCCAGTGTGCCAGGCCCTGTGCACAGGATGACAACATCCCCCACCCGCCCCGCCCTGCCCGCCTCACCCTCTGTGTCCTACACTCATCCCTCCCTGGGACAAGACTGACTCACTTCTCATGTCCACATCCGACCCACTCCGGAAGGGCATTTGGGCTGTTTTCAGTTTGCTGCAGTGTTCATAGCGGTGCTGCGAGCATTCTATGCTCCCCTTGGGCTGTGCCAACCCTGGGTCATCATGTCCTTTGAGCAGATTCTGCCAACCAGCATTCCCAAAGCTGCGGGCAGGGTTCCCACTTGCTTCTCCTCTATCCAGCATTCATTCATTATTTTATTTTATTGCGATTTTTATACATTTTATTTTCATAAAGTAGTTCACGATAGTTCATTACAGATAGCATTCAAACACCCACCCAACCAGCGAGTGTCTTCCCACCACAGTAAGAGGGAGGTGTGTGAAGGTTGTTATATTTTATTCTGGGGCAATTTAAGCCCGTATATAAGAGAATACAAGCAAGTATGTTAAAACCAAACACATGTGTGCTGCTTTAGGTACATCAGTGGGCTAGAGTATAAGAGGTCACGCGGCCACAAATGCAGCCTGTGCTTCAGGAAATACTGCATCACTCTCTTCCGGGAGCTTTCTTTTATAGTCTCTGGATCTTGGCCGTTGATGAGATTACATGGTGCTGGCGGCAATTTGTGGGTGTGATTGCCAAGCTACTGGAAAACGGGGGAGCTTGGTGGAGGAGGCCCAGTCTTGATCCGAGCAGGCTTGGAGATCTCAGCCACGGATCTCGCATACCTGGGTTCCTCTGCTAGTTCCTTCATGTGTGAGGCTCTTCTGAGTATGTGGAGAGTGGCCTTGAGCATGACTGTGCCGGGTTCTGGAGGTTTTTGGCTGCCGGGGTTCTGCTTGGGGTGGAGAGGGAAATTCAACCCGCCCCCCCCTCCGAGGGACCCCAGTGAAGACAGCCTGGCACGGGTGCGGGAGATTCTGTGTTCCATTCACTCATTTTAGACATACTGCTAGATGGCTGGAAAATTTCCCTCCTCTGTTTTGTCTATTATTATTGTTATTTGTTAGCATAATGTATTGACTTTAATTTGGTAAATTCATTGATATTATTCACATACTGTGCAATTCATCCATTTAGAACATGCAGCATGGTGTTTTGTGGTATATTTGTTATATCAGTCAATGTGAAATCATTGTAAAAGTGTCACAACACTTTAATAGTCTCAAATAATATAGTACTTGTTATTTCTTACTATTTGTTTGTTGATAGCAAACATGATCATTTATCATGAAAGAGAAGGTATCGTGGAGTTCATGGACAATTCAATCAGCCTAATCAGTGGCTGAATAAATAGCAGTACTCCTACATAAAAAAAAAATAAAGAGAAGGTATCATCTTTATTGAAGAAAAATGATATATTTCAAGTAATTAGATAATTTAAGTGTCTTATTTCAAAGAGTTTATTTTATTTTGTTAATTTATTTTTTAAAGCTAACCTTAGTGACTACTTTCTTTCTGCCTTACAAATCCTTTATTTGCTTTCAGTCTTTGGGGTGACACCCTCTGTTTCTCAAAAGCTACTCCTGGCTTGGTGCTCAAAGGTCATTCACCTACGGTACTCAGGGGACCATGCAGTGCTGCCGATCTAGACCAGGCCTCTCTCCTGCAAAACATGAGCTCCAGGAGCCAGAGAGATAATACAGCAGATACGGCACTTGCCTTGCATGAGGCAGACCTGGGCTTGGTCCCCAGCTTCTCATACAATCCCCTGAGCACCGACAGGAGTAATTCCTGAGCACAGAGCCAGAAGCAACCTCTAAGCATCTCTGGGTGTGTTCCCCCAAAAAACCAAACAAACAAAAACAAACAAACAAACACAAAACCAGCAATTTCTAGCCCTTTGAACCCTCTTGCTGCTCTGCAAATATTTGTGTTTGTTTGTTTGGGGTTTTTTTTTTGGGGGGGGAGAGGTTTGGGGGTCATACCCAGTGATACACAGGGGTTACTCCTGGCTCTGCACTCAGGAATTACTCCTGACAGTGCTCGGGGGACCATATGGGATGCTGGGAATGGAACCCGGGTCGGCCGTGTGCAGGGCAAACGCCCTACCCGCTGTGCTATTGCTCCAGCCCCGCTGCTCTACAAATCTTAATAATCAAATGTCCCCTTTCAAAGATGGTTACATAGAGACTGAGGAGGAGGACTGCTGACGTGCAATCTAACGGGTCCTCCAGGGCACACACTCGCCAGGTCCGGAGTGGGAGCTGGAATGCTCGAGCCACACAGAGATCTAGCGGGTGTGTCAGGGACTAGGGGAGGCGCTGCCCACACAACCACCTCCCCCCCACTGAGAGGCCTGGGAGCAGGGGAGGAAGGTGGTCCCTGTGGTGGTGCGGATGAGGTGCCCGCGATGGAGTGGGCAGGTGGGAGAGAGAGCAGATGCCCGAGCGCGTGAGACCGACAGGGAAACGCCAAGTCAGGACGTGTTTATTTGTCCGGGAATGGGGAGCAGCAGGAACAGTTGTGGCTGGTGGCATGGCAGTGAGGCGGGTGCCTGAGAGGCCAGTGGCTGGAGCAGACACATCCCCCAGCCCCGCCCAGCAGGGAACACGCGCCGGAGGGTCACAGGAACTCCAGCAGGCGGGGGTCCTTGCACAGCTTCTCCTCCAGGGCCATGTACTTGAGCGGGGCCAGCTCCTTGTGCCTGGGCCGGGGAAAGACAAGTGGTGGGGTGGGGTTGCCAAGTAGAGGGTCCCCGGGTCCCCAGAGGTCCACCCGGCCAGCCCGGCCCCTCACCGGTTCAGCCGCTGCTCCAGGATGCGGATGCGGAACATGGCCTGGGAACAGTAACTCAGGTACATGTCCTCGTCCTCGGTCGTCAGCGTCATCTGGTTCTCCTGGTACCACAGCTGCTTCTTCTGGAGCTCCTGGGTCTCCTGCGGGCCCAGGGAGGGGAGAGGAGTACTGAGGGGGGCTCATGCCCCCACCCAGCGGCCACTGCCCCGCCCTGGGGGTGGGGGTCACTCTGAAATCTGAAATCATGCTCAGGGCAGGCAGGGACCAAGGTGGAGACCGTTCCATGGACACCTGGACAGGTCACTGATATTTCCAAAGCCTCCAATCTCTTGTCAGCATGAGGCACATACACAGCCCTCCCTCCTCCTTTGTAAAGAGAGGGTGAGATGATGCTCAGGAAGATGTGTGTGTGTGTGTGTGTGTGTGTGTGTGTGTGAGAGAGAGAGAGAGAGAGAGAGAGAGAGAGAGACCAAGAAAAGCGATGACTAAGATGTCATAAACCACCTGCTTTCTCCCCTCCCACCACTGCCCCCGCCCACCCTCCATCACTGTTAATCCCTTCCTCTGTCTTTGACACATCCAATCATCCACCCACATTCTGGTATCTCTAGGTATCCATCTTTCATCCATCCATCATCCATTTCTCCATCATTTCTCCGTCCATCTCTCCATCATCCACCCATCATCCACCCATCCCTCCATCATCTATTCATCCATTCATCTCCCCACCATCTATCCATCATCCATCCATTATCTATCCATTCATCCATCTCTCTATCATACATCCATTCATCTCTCCATCATCCATCCATCATCTACCCATATCTCCATAGTCTAATCATCCATTCATCTTTCCATAATCCATCTATCATCCATCCATTTATCCATCCATCCATCATTCCATCCATCCATCTCTCCATCAACCATCCATTCTTGTATCCATCTTTTTCATTTTTGTTCCACTCCCAGCAGTGTTCAGGGCTTACTCCTGGCTCTGCACTCAGGGATTACTCCGGGCAGGTATAGGGGACCACATGGAGTACAGGGATTGAACTTGGGTCGGCCACATGCAAGGAAAGAACTCTTCCTGCTTTGGCCCTATCCATCTGCCGTCTCTCTCTCCACCTCTCCTTCTATTCCTTTGCCCTCCCTCCCTCTCTCCTTCCAGGCACTCATCTGTCCATCTCTCCATGCACCCTCCCTCCATCCCACCATCCTAGCTCCCTATCATCCAATGATCCAGCTTCCTCTCCACCGCATAGATCTGTTCACCCTCCATCCTATCCTCCAGGTCTCTGTCCATCTTTTCCTCCCTCCTATCACCCATCTGCTATTTCTCCACCTATTTCGCACATCCTGCCAGCCTTCTACCCCTCTGTCTCTTCATTATCCATCCATCCTCCTGTCCCCTGGGTGGTTGGGAGGAACATCATCCTTCCACGCATCCCTCCCTCCATCACTCCATCCTGCTCTCTCCCACCCGTATATTTCCGCCTGATGAATAAGAGAAAGAACAGCTCAGTCCATTGCAAGCCCCAAGCACAGCCCGACGGACCCCCGGTTGGTCCCCCGCAGGCCCGTGAGATGGAGAGAAGCTATTCAGAGGGCGGTCCCAAGGCTGCCCTGCCCGGCAGACACACTCACCTTCTCGAAACGCGCCTGGATGAGGTTGGCCTTCTCGATGAGCCGCTCCTTGAAGTCACTGAGGCACTCGTCCTTGACGTGCAGGGCCTGCCAGCGAGTCAGCTTCTCCCCGGGGGGCAGCTGGGCCAGGAACGGGGCCAGGTAGTCCAACTGGGTCTCCACCTGCCGCAGGTGCTCCTCGTGCATCACGCGCTCCTGGTGGGGGGGTTGGGGGGGAGGAAGAAGTGGTGAGATCGACCGGGGGTGCTGCCGTGGCTCTCAGCCCGCTGCCGTATCCCGCAAAAGCAAGACTCAGGGTGTCTGCATCTGCCTGTCCCCAGGTGCGACCCTGGCTTCCCACCCCAATGCCACACGCACAAAACGGAACTGCCGGCACCCGTTCCTTTCCCTCATTCACCCCGGAACCTCGTGTCCTTTGGGAATTAGGACACAGGTCCGTGAACCTGTGACGATGTGAAGTCGGGACCTGTGTCCAGGGGGTCTGAGACCATAACACCTTTTTTTGGGGGGGGGAACATTTTAGGTCACACCTAGCAATGCTAAGGGGCTTACTCCTGGCTCTGCACTCAGGAATTACTCCTGGCGGTGCTCGAAGGACCATATGGGATGCCGGGAATTGAACCTGAGTCAGCCGCACTCCCTACCCACTGTGCTATTTTTCTGGCCCCGAGACCCCAACATCTAATTTCCTGCTCCCTCTCCCCCCTCCAGCTCTTCTCAATAATCTCCTCTTGCCAGGAAGAGGGTTCAGAAGGGGCCAAGAGAGAGTAGGTAGATGGGGTCCCTGAGTTTTCATGCTCCAGGCCTCAGGGCAGAGCTGGTTTGCTGGGCTGCAGGCCCTGGAAGAGCTTCCCAGGGGGACATGGTCACAATTTTATTTTATTCTATTTTTTTCTGCTTTTGGGTCACACCCAGTGATGCACAGGGGTTACTCCTGGCTCTGCACTCAGGAATTACTCCTGACGGTGCTTGGGAGACTATATGGGATACTGGGAATCAAACCTGGGTCGGCTGCATGCAAGGCAAACGCTGTACCCGCTGTGCTATTGCTCCGGTCCCGTGGTCACAATTTTAATTCTCCCCCTTCTTCACCTTCCACAACCCCAACAGACACACACACACACACACACACACATACACACACACACACACAGAGTTGAGACCCGAGCTTGGCCACGGCCCCAGGAGGGCCATGGACAGCTGGCCTAGATCCTGAGGGCTCTCTGGGTCGAACTACAGCGAGAAGGACCATAATGGGGCCCCATAACACTGCTTCCGGCCGAGTCCTGGCCTGGGCAGGGCAGGGGGTGGGGGGTGGGGATGCCCGGGCAGCGCCAGGCCGGCGGGAGCAGGCAGAGGTGCTCACCATGGCCTCCCGGTACTCCTTGCTCTTGCCGTTCCGCTTGTTGTCGTAGATGGAGACGGTCAGTTTGTGCTCCTCCTCCTCTTCCTCACGGAGCTTCAGGATCTCCAGCACCTGTGTGGGGAGGCCAGGCGGCATGGGGGGGCTTTCCAGTGAGAGGGAGGCAGCACCCCGCCCCCCGGCCCCCGGCCGGGTGTGCGCCCACACGCACCTCCACCTCGGACTCCCAGGCCTGGTGCCGGGACTGCTTCTCCTCCTTCTTGAGCTGCATCATGGTCTCGTACTGGTACAGGAGCTTCTTGGTGTGCTCCAGGGGCTCCACCTGGGACCCCAGATGCCACACGATGCAGAGGCAGCCGGGGCCAGGGGCCAAACCTCAGCCCAGGTCTGAGCTTTGTGGTGGTGGTTTGGGGGCCACCCCTGGCAGTGCTCAGCGGTTATCCCTGCTCTGCACTCAGGAATCACCACCGGGGCAGGGCTCAGAGGACCATCTGGGGGGCTGGGATTGAACCTGCATCAGCCGTGTGCCAAAAAAGTGCCCTCCCCTGTTGGGAGGATCCTCCCAGGATGGGAGAAGCATGCTGAAAGTAGTCTATAGACCGAACATGTTGGCCACTCAATGCCTCTTTTGCAAACCACAGCACCCCAAAGGAGAGAGAGAACAAAAGGGAATGCCCTGCCACAGAGGGAGGGTGGGATGGGGGGGGGAGGGATACTGGGATCCGTGGTGGTGGAAAATGGGCACTGGTGGAGGGATGGTGGAGGGTACTTGATCATTGTATAACTGAAACCCAAGCACAAAAATTTGTAAGTCTACAACTGTACCTCATGGTGTTTCACTATTAAAAATTAAAAAAAAAAAAAGTACACTCCCCACCCCATACTCTCGCTCTGGTCCCTTGGCCCAAGTTTGAGCCATGGGAGCTCAGGGAAGTCACTTCAACTCTCTGGGTCTCAGTTTCCTCAGGCAAGGAAACAGTGATCAGGCACCAAAGAGAAAGTGTCATAGGCCAGAGAGGGCCTTCTCAACACACAGGTGCTTGGGTTAGCCCAATACTTAGCACTGCCAGGGGACCCCCTCTGAGCACTAAGCCAGGAATACCCTCTGAGCACTAAGCCAGGAGTAGCCCGACTGGTATGTGGCCCCAAACACAGCAGCTACTGATACTATGAAAAGAGGAACCAGAGGGCCTGAGGAGGAGCAGGGAGAGCGAGTGAGGGTTTGAAAGCAGACCCAAGGAGTGAGCCTATTGGTCCAGGTGTGTGTGGCGGGGAAGGGAGGCAGCCTCGCCCCCTGCTGGCAGGTCGGGGAAATGCAGCGGCGTCTCGGCCTACAAGATTGGCTTTCTGGGTGGAAAAGTGGGAGGGGGTCGTGGGGGAGGGAGGTGCTTCCCCCCCCCCCAACCTACCCAGGGGCTGCAAAGAGATGGGAACCCCGGCTGGAGCTCTGGATTTTTCCCCCGCCCCCCGCCCCGAGAAATCCAGAGATGAATTTCTGGGCGGCAACCCCGAGCTTCCATCTGGAGTTGGGGATGGGGGCGCGGCTCCTCACCTCGTAGCTCACGCACATCTCGGGCGTCATGATGATCTTGTTGCCTTTGCTGTCCACGTCCAGGCGCCGCAGGTACTCGCGCTTGGACGTGGTGATGTGGTCGTCGCGGCAGTGGAAGCGCAGCTGGATGCGCTCCTCCGGGATGAAGAAGGTGCGCTCCTGCACGTCCTCGTCGGCCGGCACGGCGGGGTTGCGGGAGAAGCGCTCCGTGATTTTCTGGGGGGGGACCGGGACACACGGAGGATGGGAGAGGGAGATTCCTGCGTGAGTGTGCCCAGTCCCGACCCCCAGGGTGGGATGGACGACCCAGGGCTCACACAAGGCAGGTCCTCCTAGCCCACCCACCAGCGGCTGCTCCTGGCCCCCAGAATCTTCCTCTCTCGCTCCCCCCAGATTCTGCCTGCTCTCTTCCAGGCACCGGGGCCCCCTACCTCCCCAGGACTCTGTATTCATCGAGGGTCACACACACACACACACACACACACACACACACACACACACACTACACCCCCCACACCCACCCACACTGTTTTTTTCTCTTTTTTTTTTTTCTTTTCTTTTTTTTGGGGGGGGGGTCACATCCAGCAATGCTCAGGGGTTGCACCTGGGTCTGCACTCAGGAATTACTCCTGGCGATGCTCGGGGGACCATATGGGATGCTGAGGATTGAACCCGGGTCAGCCACGTGCAGAGCAAACGCCCTACCCGCTGTGCTATCACTCCAGCCCCCATACACCTTCCCCGGCCCCCCCCCCCCAGGAAGGAGGCACACCTGGCTATGCTCAGGGCTTACTCCTCACTCTGCTCTCAGGAATGACTCCTTGTTGTACCATATGGGATGACGGGAACCAAACCCAGGTGGGCTGCAGACAAGGCAAGCAGCACCCTACTCTCTGGACTATCTCTCCAGCCCTGCACACATCTTTTTGATCAAATTCGAAAAGGCTCTTAAAAACCAAACCTGTGTGGGGCCAGAGAGATGGTACAGTGGGTAGGGTATTTACCTAGCACGCAGCCGACCCGGGTTCGGTCCCAGGCCTCCCATATGGTCCCCCGAGCTTGCCAGGAGTGATCCCTGAATGCAGAGCCAGAAATAAAACCCTGAGCATCATCCACGTGTCCCCTGCCCCCCCCCAAAAAAAAACAAAAACTAAATGAGAAAGCTAACCCTGCGAAACTCAAATGTGAAATAGCCAAGAGATGCCATTCTAAGTTACAACTGTTTTCCCCTTGGTATTTTTCTGTGTTTCCTAAATGTTCAGTCACAAGTGGGTGCTTTGTAGCACCGTGAGGACATGAGACGCTCTGCCTGGGTCCAGGGACCGGGAGGCCCGTCAGACTCGAGGCAGCCCTGGGAGGCTAGGTGCTGAGTAGAGCACTCGGGTGCTGTTACCGGTTGGGAGCCTGGGAAGCTGAGCCCCCGACAGATAGTGCGTACCACTACGAACCGGGGGTTCGACTCAGAGCTGTTCCCCGGCGGTTTCTTGGTCCGGGGCCCAAAGGTGACGTGACGGTAGGTGAGGAAGTCGGACCGGCCCTGGTAGTGCTCCGTCATGGTCCTGGGTGTCTCCTCCCGCCTCACCAGGCCGTCCACACGGGCCGACACATGAAACTCCATGACACGGTCCATCTCGGGCTGCAGCGACTTGTAAGCGTGCACTGCGGGGGGCGGAGAAGGGGGTCTGGAGAGGGACGGTGGGCACCCAGAACCCCACTGCCCCACCACCCCAAGCAACCTGGGAGCGATAATCAGATTTGTGACTAGTCCCCGACTAGCTGGGTACGGAAGTGGGTTCCAACCTTATTGTTCTGTTTTTGTGTGTGTGTGTGTGTGTGTGTGTGTGTGTGTGTGTGTGAGGGGGGGGATACATCTGGAGCGATAGCACAGCGGGTAGGGCATTTGCCTTGCATGGAGCCAACCCGGGTTCGATTCCTCCATCCCTCTCGGAGAGCCCGGCAAGCTACCGAGAGTATCCCGCCCTCATGGCAAAGCCTGGCAGGCTTCCTGTGGCATATTCAATATGCCAAAAACAGTAACAGCAAGTCTCACAATGGAGGTGTTATTGGTGCCCGCTCGAGCAAATTGATGAACAACGGGAAGACAGTGCTACAGTGCTACATCTGACCATGCTCAGGGCTTACTCCTGGCTCCAAATCACTCCTGGATTCTCAGGGAACCATAGGGGATGATGGGAATCGAACCTTGGCCAGCTGTGTGCAAGGCAAGTGCCCTCCCCGCTGTACTATTGGTTTGGTCCCCAGGTTCCAGCCTCACTCTGTGTCTGATTGAGAGCATGCGTCAGCCACCTTTGTCAGATTGTGGCCTCTTTCTGGCTAGTTTCCTTCCTCAGGCCTCCTGATGTACAGGGCAGGCCTCGAGTTTCATGCTGTGGCCCCTCATGATTCCAGTTTCCGCCTGTGGACCCTTGGCATATCCTGGGGTGCCCACAGAGAGCCTGGGTCTCCTGGCTGAGAACCTCTGGCAAAGACAGTACTAAAGGGAAGAGATGTCGCATGCATTTTTTTTTTCATCCTTGCCTGGCTTTTGCTCAAGACATTTTTTTTTTTTTGCTTTTTTGGGTCACACCCAGCAATGCTCAGGGGTTACTCCTGGCCTATGCACTCAGGAATTACTCCTGGCGGTGCTCGGGGGACCATATCGGATGCTGGGAATCGAACCCGGGTCGACCATGTTGGCTGTGTGCAAGGGAAACGCCCTACCCACTGTGCTATCGCTCCAGTCAGTTTGTTAATTTTTTTAGGTCACACCCAGTGATGCTCAGGGTTTACTCCTGGCTCTGCACTCAGGAATCACTCCTGGTGGTGCTGGGGGACCATATAAGACGCCAGTGATCCAACCCGAGTTGGCTACATGCAAAGCAAACGCTATCCCTGCTGCACAAAAATTGTTACTCTGGCATCAAGCATGCATTTGTATTATTTTATTTATTTATTTGCTCTTTGGATCACACCTGGTGATGCTCAGGGGTTACTCCTGGCTCTGCACTCAGGAATTACTCCTGGTGGTTCTTGGGGGACCATATGGGATGCCAGGGATCGAACCCGGGTCTGCCGCATGCAAGGCAAACGCCCTACCTGCTGTGCTATTGCTCCAGTCCCAAGCATGCTTTTTTTTTTTTGCTTTTTGGGTTATACCCAGCAATGCCCAGGGGTTACTCCTAGCTCTGCATTCAGGAATTACTCCTGGTGGTTCTTGGGAGACCATATGGGATGCAGGGGATCGAACCCGGGTCTGCCGCGTGCAAGGCAAACGCCCTACCCGCTGTGCTATTGCTCCAGTCCCAAGCATGCATTTTAAAAGACTCATATTGATATATTTTGCTCAACTGTCATTCCAGCCTCTTCCCACAGACCTTAGACTTCCCGAAAAGGCTCTACTGTTGGAGTGAAGAATGGAAAACTCAGAAACCGAAGACCTCTCTCACGTGACTGAAGGGAACAGAAGGGGCCTGGAGACCCCCACCCCACCCCAGCCTCATGGCTATCAGCTTCCTGATAAGGTAAGGACTTTGGAAAACCAGGCTCCAACCAGTTACTGAAGCATGCTTCGAACCCGGAACCCTAGCCCTATTTTCCCCTAAGCCCAAATGCTTCTTAGCCCAGCCCCTGGCCACATCCTTAGAGGCTAGTGATACCTGCATTGTATATCAGCAAGCATGTCACATGTCGTCCTTACACACACGGACATCTTTGGCACCGCCCTGTCATGCTAACTCATGCTCCATGCGTGCTTTTTTTGTTCTTGCTGTTCTGTTTTTGGCCCACACCCAGCGATGTGCAGGGGTTACTCCAGACTCTGTGCTCAGGGACTAGTCCTGGTGAGGCTCGGGGGACCATTATGGGATGCCAAGAACCAAACCCAGGTCAACCTTGTGCAAGGCAAACGCCCTTACCTGCTGCACTACCACTCCGGCCCTGTGTTATTTTAATTTTGGAGCCACGCCCGGCAGTGCTCCTGGTTCTGAGCTCAGGGATCACTCCTGGCAGGCTCTGGGATCGAACCCAGATCGGCTGTGTGCAAGGGAAGTTTCCTACCACTGTGCTATTGTCCCACCCCTAAGGTTCTGTCTCGTTTTGACCAAACACATCATCCACCAAGTGAGGCTGCTCATCCACCCACCAACCATCCTGACCCTCGCAAACACGTGACCTCTAGGTAGGAATCTTTGATTCTCTGCTGAGTCAGGTCCTGCCCTCCCTGGCGGCCTCCCGGCCTCCACCTCTGATTGACTGTCCTGTGCCCCAACTCCTGGAAAGGGGCCTGCCTGAATGTGGCCCCAGCCTCAGTGGGGGCAGGGGGCTCAGCTCAGGCTTTCCTGGTACCTGCTGGCTCCCTGGGTTCCCCCAGCCCCCGGACTCCCACCCACCCGGGTCTGCAGGCCTGCGGGGCATTTTTGCAGCTGGGACGGGAGAGCCGAGTAGATACTTGGAGACCAGTTCCCTCTTGCAGGAGCGGCTTCTCCACCGCCCCCGCCCGAAGCCACTCTGGGAGGGTCTCTGGTGTAGGTTCCCTTCCCGCGGGCTCCAGGCCTACCCGGCTTCTCATGGACACACACCTCGCAGGGCCTGGAGGTGGCCGGGCTTGAAGTAGTCGGTGATGAGCCCCGTGGTGTGGTCCGTGTGCTTCAGCTCCAGCTTGTCCTCACGGTTCTCGAACCACTCCTTCACCTCCAGGACCTGCGTGCCTGGGGGCCCCTGGGTGGTCACTGCTGTCCGGAGCAGCACCCACCTCCAGCCCAACCCCCCCCAACACACACACACACACACACACACACACACACCAGCAGAGTCGGTGGGCCCAGGGTCCCCATGCCAGGATCCCCCCTGCCCGCCAGCCGCCATGGCTGGGCAGCTGCCCTTACACTCCAGGTCCTGGTAGGTGGTGAGGCGGGACACCAGCCCGTTGCTGTTGAGATACGGGCACCACTTCTCCAGCTTGGCTTTCCTGTAATGGATCACCTTCGTCCCCTGGGGGCAGCGGGTCTCGAAGGCTGTGGACACAGGAGTGTGCTGGGCCTCCCAGCTGGCCCTTGGGTGCGTGGGGCTGGTCCACGCACGCACACACCTGCACGCATGCCCGCCTGCGCACACGCACACACATGCACACACCGACACAGATGCATGTGCACATAGATGCATCACTGCACACACATAGACGCATCACGTATGCACTCATGCACGCATGTGCACACAGATGCATGCCTGCCTTTCCCACACCCACCCACACCCACACACTCCCAAGCAGGTGGGCCAAGCCGTTTCAAGTCCCGCCCTGCCCAGTCCCCAGGGGTCCCTGCCCTGGAGGGGATGTCGGGCCAGGCAGCAGCTCTCCAACCCCTGCCCCCACACCAAGGGGACTTGCCACTCCACGGCCTCACCCCCAGGCCTCGTACGTCCTCCCCTGCACCCCACCCTCCATCTCCTCTGTGTTTATCTGCACACGGTTCTTCAGAGAACTCAGCCTGGGAGCCACGTCCTGCACAAACAACCCTTCGTACCCATTCATCTCCCCCCCACCCCATTCCCCCCACCCATAACCCCACGCCTGGCTCTCAGGCCACCGCTCTCCTTCCCACCCAGTAGCAGCCGCACCCCTGCTCGGCCCTCACTCTGCCTTGGCGGCAGGTGGAGGGGAGTGGCCAGGGCCTCCCGAGTCCCACCCCTGCCCCCTGCCCCCATCCCAGGCCGGCAGGATCCCCCCCGCCCCCGCACACACTCACCCTCCTCGGAGATCTGGATCTGCTCCACCCACGAGGGCGGCATGTCCAGGCCCAGGCTCTCCTCCTCCTTGCCCTGCTGGGAATGGTGAGGACAGCTCAGAGGCCGCAGCAGGCTGGGTCCTCGGTTTCCCCCGGGCAGCTGCAGGCCACATCAGTAGTCCTTCTGACTGGACACAGAGCCTTGCCTCAGGACAGCCCAGCGTGCCCCGACCCTGCCTGCCCACCCCCCAACCTCCTTTGGACCCTTTGAGAGAGGGGCTTCGGGCCTGAGGGACCATGCCCCATCCCCGGTTCCACACGGTCCCCAGAGCACCACCAGGAGTGACTCCGGAGCACCAAGATGGGATTAACCTGTGGGCACCATTGGATGTGGCTCAGAGAGCAGAGACGGGGCAGGTCCTCCTGGAGCCCAGAGGGGTCTGCCTGCATGCGAGCCAGCACCGGGGCCCGGGGGCCTGAGTGTCTCTGAGCCTCAGTTCCCTGACACTGAGCAGCCCGGGCTCTGGAGACTCAGTGGCTGCTCCTTCTGCCTCTCTCTGCACACTCGCGCCTGCCCGGGAGAGGAGGCCCGATCTCGTCACGGGGCCCTCCGGCTCGGTGGTGGCACCGACCCGGGTAACATCTGCTCAGTTCCGGCCCATTCCCCGCTCGGGGATTTGTCTGCGTCTCAATTTGAGCCCAGTGCCCTTGGTTCTTTGCCATCTGAAGAAACCACGTTCTCTTTTGAAAAACATTACTCCCTTCTAATGGTCCCCAAAACAAAACTAGTTGAAGAAAGAAAGAAAAAAATTTTTTTTTTCTCTTGGTAAAGCTTTTCTCCAGGGGGCTGTGGTCTGGTGTCCACCACGGAAGACAAGGCTGTCCCTGGCATAGGGGCCAAGTCACCACGGCCTCAGGCTGCCCTGCCCGGAGCCTGTATGGAGAACCTGGCAGCTATTGTGTGGCACTGGCTTCTGAGGAAGACTGGATGCTCGGGGCTGGGGTGATTAGCACAACGGGTAGGGCATTTGCCTTGCATGCGGCTAACCCGGGTTTGATTCCCAGCATCCCATATGGTCCCCTGAGCACCACCAGGAGTAATTCCTGAGTGCAGAGTGAGGAGTAACCCCTGTGCATTGCCGGGTGTGACCACCCAAAAAAGCAAAATAATCATCATCACCATCACCATCACCATCATCATCAAACCCTTTTCTCCAAACTTCTCTCAGCCTTGACCCATCTCATCACAATGCACCTTGTGGCCAGCAGGGGGCGCCCTAGTCACAGCCAGGCAGCCTGAGCATCCAGTGAGTCTTACAGCAGAGCTCTGTGCCCAGTCCAAAGGACTTTGATGTGCGCCGCCCCCCCTCCAGCCCTCTGGCATCTCCAGAGACCCTGAGATGGAACTGTTTCCAAGCACATCCACCGGGCTCTGCCGAGTCTCCTTCTGGCGGCACAGAACCTGCTTTTGGGAGCCGGGCTCTGGAATCGCAGACTTGAGCCCCAGTTCTGCAACCACAGGCTGCCGGGCACCCGGGGCGAGCTCCTTTCCCTTGTGCAGGGGCAGCTTGAGACCCAGGCCCCCTTTTAGTGGTCGTGGAGACGGGGAGGCCTTAGCTCAGCCTCAGCCCCACAGACCACAGCACACACGAACAGGATGTGGGCAGAGAGGGAAGAAGGAGTTGGGGCCATCGAGGGGAAGATGACCGTCCACAAATGGACAGGAAACCTCAGACAGAACTGACCCTGCGGAAGGCTGGAGAGGTAGTACAGCGGGGAGGGTGCTAGCTTTGCACGTGGCCAACCCAGGTTTAATCCCTGGGACCCCATACGGTTCCCCGGAGCAACGCCAGGAGTGATTCCTGAGTGCAGAGCCAGGAGGAACCCCGTGAGCACTGTGGCCCACCAACCCTCCCTGCAAAAAGGAAACCCAACTTCAGGGACCCTTTGATTTCAGATTCTTAGTCTTTCTAGTCATGGTCTGTAGCCGGCTACTTTGGGCAGCAGCAGATGGGCACACTGACTCAGGTTGGCATGAACACACACACACACACACAACCTCGGGGGAACAAAAACTTCGAGCAGCAGGGCATTCACCGAGAGCCAAGGCCTCTGCCCTCTAGGGGAGGCCCCTGGCCAGGAGAGATGGGACAAGGAGGGAGGGGTCTGGGAACATGAGTGGGACCCCAGTGGCCAGGCATGCAGGGGGTCTGGAAGCAAGACCTCTCCGGCCTCAGGGCCCCCCGAGGTGTGTGAAGGCAGTGCCTCAGCTTAAGGTGAGAGGAAATGGGTCCCCGGATGACTGTCCCCGCCCTCCCTTCTCACCCGGGCCTCGGGGTGCCCGACCATGGAATGATGCCAGCCTGGCCAGACCCTGCCGCCTTGAGGGGTCTCGAATAGCAAGCCCGATGGCCCCGACCCAGGATCACGGGCGCAGGCCAACCTGGCCTGCAGGAGGCGGGGAGGGAGACGCACCAGGTTCTGGAGGTCTTCGTCTTCAATCATGGTCTCGTCCTCCTCCTCGGCCAGGGCCAGCTGGGGCTTGTCGGTGCCCGCCAGCATGTATTCCCACTGCACGTTGTCGCCCAGGTCAAAGACCATGTCCTAGGGATAGGGGGAAACGGGGGGCCTGGTTGAGTAGCCCTCTCACAGCCGCCACGCCCCCTCTGCCCCAGCAGCTGGGGAGGTGGGGTCCTGGTCCCCGTCAAGAAACACCCCCCGCCCCTTGGGTTGGTGGTCTCCTGAGAGGCCACGCCGTGCAGGGCGGATGGCAGAGGTGCAGGGGAGCCACGCCTCCATGCCGCTGCCGTCTGACCGTCTCGGCACCCCTGAGCTGGGGCTCTCCTGCCAAGAGGTCTCTCTCAGTTGTGGAGGGACCCCCAACCCCCAACCCCCTTATTTCCCATCCACCGCCCCTGGCAGAGCGCGCCCCTCCCCCACTCAGGAAAGAGCCCAGAGCCCAAGGGCATCTTCCTGGTCCTCACTGTGTGTCTGACCCTGGGGGAGGTTGGGTCCCCTCAGAGCTAGACTCTGGCTGGGAGGTGGGGGGTGGGCAGGCTTCCTCAGGGTGCGCCCACTTCTGGGGCCTCCTTAGCGGTATGAGCCGGCTAGACACTCTGTTTTCTTTTTTTCTTTTCTTTTCTTTTATTTTTTTGGTCACACCTGGCGATGCTCAGGGGTTACTCCTGGCTCTGCACTCAGGAATCACTCCTGGCGGTGGTTGGGAAGTGGGGGGGGGGACCCTATGGGATGCTGGGAATCGAACCCATGTCGGCCATGTGCAAGGCAAACTCCCTCCTTGCTGCACTATCACTCCTCCCCCCACACCCCCCATGCTCTGCTTTCTTCTCCAGATCAAGATGAAACAGCAAAGCCCGGAACACAGCGCATCCTCACAGCCTCCTGCCTCGCCGTGGCCCGGGTCCCAGAGCCCTTCTGAGCTTCCCTGGGCTGGGGCTGAGCCTCACCCGGCATTGCCCAGGGGCTCCTCCTGTGGCTCTCACCCCGGGACTCTCTCTGGGGACCCCCATATCTTTGTTCAGCCTGTGGTTCCCTCAGGGTAGTTTTTACAGGGTCCCCTCCAGGCTGAGTTCCAGCCACGGAAGGGGAGTGGGGTGTGAGGGCGCTGGAGAGACGCCCAGGAAGGGACCGTGGCTGGTGGCTGCCCCAGTCCCCGGCCACCCCCTGCCCCCACGGTGGCTGCGTCTCTCCACGCCGCCCCCCCCACCCCCACCAGCCCTGCCCAGCACCTTGCAGCCGTTCCAGCAGTCCTGCATGTTGATCCAGTAGTTCTTGTGGTTCCAGATGCACTCGATGCCCAGGAAGTTGTCGTCCTCAGGACTGTAGCTGTAAGCCGTGAATGGGTCGATGAAGAAGGTCTCGGGCACCTCGCGCTTCCCCGACAGCACCAGGACCCAGGAGTGCACCCGCAGGCCGTGCAGGGGATCCGCACCCTCCTTCTCCAGCTCCTGCACGGGGAAGGGGGCAGTGGCGGCCTGGTGGGGGGAGGGAGGAGCATCAAGGGCCCCTGCCCCGAGTTCAGGGAGAGAGCTGGGGTCTGACCCGGACGGCACTCTGCTGGCTGAGCCGGCCGTTATTCTCCCATGGAGCCTCCTCCCTAAGAGGCCAGGCTGGACTTCAGCTCTGGGAGGTCTAGGTGCCTGTGACCTCCCCCCGCCCCCAGATGCTGAGCTGAAAACTGGGCATGAGCTGGGAGGATAAAAGGATGTTCCGGAGGAGGAATGGAAGGACAAAGTTGGGAGCAGCATGGGAGGACAGAGAACTGGGGGTGGACGGGAGGGAGGAAGGGAGGGAGGAAGGGAAGAAGGAAGGAAGGAGGGAAGTAGGGGGAGTTAGGGGGGATGGAGCGAGTTGGGGAGCCTGGAGGATGGTGGGGCGAGGGCCACAGGCACGTCTTCAGCCCCAGGTTGGAATGGGGTGAGCCCCAACCCCAGAAACCCCTTTCACGGTGGCGGGACACTGTGGGCCAGCAACTCCTCTGGGAGTGACGTGTAAACCACACACCCTGACACGGAAAGAAGCTCCCACCCACGGGTCCCGACATGGCCCAGCAGGCCCAGGGGAGGGGGGCATGAGCTCTCCGAGTCCCGCCCCCACCGCCAGCTGAACTCAGGGCTACAGCAAGGGCCCCGGGCCCACCAGGAGCTTCTCCTCCTCCATCCTCCTCTGCTTCTCCTCCTCCTCTCGGATCGCCTTCTTCCTCTTCTCCTCCTGGTCGTGCTCAAACCTGCTGGTCAGGTCCTTGGGGGGCTTGATGGTGTACTTCTTCGTTGGCACCTTCTCCTTCTCCTGGACTACCTGCACCGGAGAGGGGGGAAGGTCAGGGTTCCCAGGCGCCGGGTGATTCTCATTCAGGGTGGTCCCTGCTGCTCCTCTAGCCCTGGACCCCCTGGCCCTGATGCAGAAAGGGCCCCAAGTGCTGCTCAGAGAAGGGGGCACGCCTTGCCACGTGCTGTTCCCACGTCTGGCCACATGCTGTCCGCACACCCTGCTAGGTGCTGTCCTCAGATGGAGGCAAACCATTGTCATGGAGGTTTCCAGTCTGATCATTGCAAGGTTTCCTGTATTGACTTAACAAGATTATGGGGTGGGCCAGAGTGATAGCACAGCAGGGAGGGCATTTGCCTCGCCCACAACTGACTGGGGTTTGATCTCCGGCATCCCAGATGGTCCCCCTGAGCACTTGGCCCCCTGAGCACAAGAGTAATTCCTGAGTGTGCAGAGACAGGAGGAACCCCTGAGCACCACTGGGTGTGTCCCACTCCCTGAAAAAGATTACTGGGAACAAGGAAGAAGAGAGAGATCCAGAGAGCACACATGTGTGCATGGCTTTGTGCCTGAGTGTGCCTTTGCATGTGTGCATGTGTGTACGTGTGTGTGTGCCTGTGTGTGTGCACATGTGTGTGCCTGTGTGCTTCTGTGCGCCTGTGTGTGACTTTGTGTGTGAGTGCATGCATGTACGTGTGTGTGCATGTGTGTGCATGTGTTATATGAATGTACAGTAGGTGGCAAGAAAAATGGGTGGGGATGAGGGGCTTGGGGAGGTTTTAGGGAATTGCAGGGGAGTTCTGGGTTTCGAGGCCTCCAGATTCCACCCCAGCTCCCGCTGTCTACCCTGGGTCACGTTTCCTCTGCTCCCCGGTGCCCACGTTCCCTACGGGCGCGGGGGCTACCAGCCAAGAGCACTACTGTGAGGACTAGCCAGGCCAGTGGGCTGAAAGCCAGATGCCCACCTACCTCTGATTCCTACTGGGGGCACTTCTCGGGGAGCTGAGAGGCCATTGTATGAGTAACAAGTCTTGGGAGTCCAAAGTGATGAGAGGCATATTTCTAACCCTTTCTCCAGGGCTGGAGTGATAGCACAGCGGTAGGGCGTTTGCCTTGCGCGCAGCCAGCCTGGCGGCCGAGCCAGGTTTGATTCCTCCACCCCTCTCGGAGAGCTACCGAGAGTATCTCGGCCGCACAGCAAAACCTGGCAAGCTCCCCGTGACGTATTCAATATGCCAAACACAGTAACAACAAGTCTCACGATGGAGACGTTACTGGGCTCTCTCGAGCAAATCGATGAATAACCGGAGGAGGACGGTGACCCGTGACTCTCCAGGACCCGGACCTTGAGACGCTTTCTTTCCTCCCGCCAGCAGAGGGCGCTCCCACGCCAGCACCCATGCCCAGCCCTTAACTACATGCGCCTCCAGCCTTGACCCTGAATCCTCCGAGGTTTGTCGTTGGGTTGGTTTGGCCACACCCAGTGATGCTCAGGGGGTCACTGCTGGCATGCTCAAGGGACCATAGAGGGTGCAAAGATCGACCCGGTCAGCCGCGTGCAAGGCAAGCGCCCTCCCCGCTGTGCTATTGCTCCAGCCCCTGAATCCTGGGCTGAATTCGGCTCAGGAAAGGTATTTTCTATCTGTGGAACAGCTCTTCGCTAAAGACAAAGAGACGCTTTGTGACGGCTTAAGCTCACTCTATGCCCCTCGGCCAACAGACAGACAGACACAGCGATGATAGGAGGGGGCCAGCTGGGCTGGTTCAACTCGGAGACCTTCCTCCCCGGATACCCCCTAAATACGCCCACCCGTCCGCTTTCCCCCTCCGTGTAACCTGCTGGCGGCTTCTTCCATCCTTTCAGAGTTTAAGTGTTTCATTAAGACCAAATGGCTCGACCACTCCACCCGCCGCCCTTTCAAACCCCTGGCTAGGAAGAAGCAGCTTCCCCACCCCAAGGCTCTCCCCAGACCCCCTCCCCACCAGGCTGTGGCCCCAGAGGACACCCCCTGTCCCACAGCCCTGCTAGCCTGAGCACTGAGCCACCTGGCCTGGCTGGCTGAGTGCCACAGGAAGTGACCCCGGGTCCTGAGGCACTGCCTGAGGGTGGCAGCTGACCCCCCCCCCCCCATCCCCAGGCCATGGCGGGGCTGGTACCTCTTCAGGCTTCACGGTGAGCGGGCACACCTCCCGGGTGAGGTCCATGGCACACAGGTTCCTGGAGGCGTAGCCGTTGACGCAGTACGCGTCGTAGCCGGCGCCGATGAGTAAGGAGCACAGCAGCACGCTGAAGTCGAAGCAGTTCCCCTTCTGCTCTCTGAGCACTGTGGTCGAGGAGTACAGGGACGGGGGCTGCCAAGGCAACGGCTCAGCACAGCCGGCCCTGCGGCCCCCCGCGGCCCCCGTGCCCGGGGCTGGCTCCTTGTCTCCACTGGGTGGGTGGGTGGGGCGTCTGGGAAGGGCGGGCCAGGCTGGTCCCTTAATATTCTGGGACCCACGGGGTGACCTAGTAGGCGGCGGAAGCTTCTGGAAGGCTGCTCTGGCTCTGGTTTATGGGCCGCCTTGCAGCCCACCCTTTCCGGTCTCAGACCCCCCCACCGTCCTCCTTCCCTTCTTTCCTTTTTTTTTTTTTTTTTTTGCGTTACACCCAGCGACGCATAGGGGTTACTCCTGTCTCTGCACTCAGGAATTACTCCTGGCGGTGCTCAGGGGACCACATGGGATGCTGGATGCTGGGAATCGAACCTGGGTCGGCCGCGTGCAAGGCAACCGCCCTCCCCACTGTGCTATTGCTCCGGCCCCTCCTCCTTCCCTTCTTGAGGTGAAGCCACAAAGCTGGTCACCTCCTTCCACCTCCTCCTCCATCCTCCCCCCCTGCAATCAGGAGAGGAAGACTCTGGGGCCAGGAGGAGCGGTGGGCAGGGGTAGGGGTGGGAGACCAGGCCTGCTGTGCGCCCTCAGGCAGGTGTCAGCCTCTCTCTGGGCCTGGGCCCCTGTCACCAGCCCAGTGGGACTCTGGGGCACACTCATGACTGCAGCCAGAGCCCAGTGGGGCCCCTGTCTGCCTCTCATGGGTCCATGAGCTGAGGGAAGGAGATCCCGGGGAGCGGGGGATGAGGGTGCGGGCCACTCACCGGCTTGAGGGGGTCCGGCAGGGGCTCCATGGAGAGGAAGTCGGAGACGAACTGGGCGCAGGTGTCCCAGTTATAGAGCTCGGGGAAGGGCATCAGGGTGGGCCGGAGCGTGGTGCTCACGAACTTCTGTGGGGAGAGCATAGCCACACTGGGAAGCTGCCCGGTGCCGCAGGGCCCGGACCCCACAGGCCCCTCACGCAGAATGAGCGTGTGCTGCCCCCCACAAACCCCCACCTGCCATCACTACTTCCCCCTGGGGGCAGCCTGGCTGGACCCCCCACTTGGCAAGGGGGACCTCCAAACCCAGCAGCAGGTCCCCAGAGCAGAGGGGCGGGTCCGGGAGGGGAGGGGGCATGTCTGGGTGCACGGAGCGAGGGTCCGGGCTCTGGGGTTGGTGGCCGCTGGGCAGGGGCTTGAGACGGGTGGAAACCCTCAGTGGAGACCAGCGCCCCCAGGGTGGCTCTGATGGTTCCAGAGGGGCAGGGTCCCCTAGCACGGCCTCCTTGGCCTCTCTCCCTGCAGGCCCCACCCGGACAGCCCCCAGTGCCCCCTGCAGGGGAAATGGGGGAAATGCGGCTTCCAGAGCAAATGAGGCCGTAGATGGCGGGGGCTGCCTGGGAATCTCGGCCCTAACTGTCTCTGTTCGCGGGCCACACGCAGCGGTGTTCAGGGCTGACTCCTGCCTCTGTGCTCCGTAATCCTCCCGGTGGTGGGGGGATACCGGGAATGAAGCCAGGTGGGGCCTCCCTGCTATGCCCCCCCCTCCCCCGCCCAGGCAGGGCTGTTTCAGATGCTGGCAGCAAATCCCACTGCCGGAGCCCCCAGGCCACTCCGGGTGGGGTACCTGTGTGACATGCACAAGGCCCTGTTTGGTTCCTGGCGCTGCGAGGCCCCCCTGGGCTCCCGAGCACTGTCAGGAGGCGGCCGAAGCTCACCCCGAGGGCCCAGGAGTCACGCCCACCAGGCCATGGGCAGATGCACTCAGAGACACTCGGACGGGGCGGTGCCCGGGCCTGCCAGCTGCCTCTGGTGTCTCTGCCCTGCCCTGGCAGCGCTGGCCTCTGGGTTGGGCACTGCAGTGGGAGTCCGACTGCTCTGGGGAGGGGCTCGGGGGGCGAGTCCAGTCCTGCTAGGCCCCTGCCCTGTGCCGGACTCAGGTGGGGTTCTGTAGCCTTGAGCTGTGCGGCCCTAAGCTTTGTCCTTTGCCTCTGCCCCCCTTCCCCTGCCCCTCCCCCTGCCCCTCCCCTGCTTCTGATTCCTCCCCTCCCCTTCCCCCAACTCCTCCCCCCCGCCCCCCCCCCCGCCCTCTCCGCCCCTCCCCCTCCTGTGCCCCTGCCTCCCCCCCATCTACCCCTCCCCCTTCCCTGGCCCTTCCCCTCCTCTGCCCCTCCCCCTCCCCTGGCCCTCCCCTCCCCCTCCCCTGGCCCTCCCCCTCCCCTGCCCCTCGCACTCCTCTCCCCCGCCTCCCCCCTGCCCACCCGCCTCCGGAGCCTTACGGGCACTTGGCACTCGTTGAGCGGGTGCAGGAAGAGCGGCACGCGGTCGGGGCACAGGTGGCTGTACTGCCTGGAGAAGTTGTCGGCCACCTGCAGCAGCCGCTCCTCCTTGGGCGAGTTGCTCCGGTAGGAGAGCGGCAGCTTGGAGGTGTCCAGGGCAGCTCTGGGAGGCGTCCTGTGGCCACCGGATAACGGGAGGATCAGACGGTGCCCCCCCGCCCCGTCCCGTGGAGCCCACCCCACGGGTCAGCTGAGCCGCCCCTGCCCCTGGCTCTGTTCTGCCCTCACTCCTCACAGCGCCCGCCCAGGACGGAGCTTCCTCCTGGGGCAGAGGCCCAGAGGGAACAGAGAGGTTGTGGGAGCAGCCCCAGGTCACACAGCTCACGAAGGGGAGTCTGACGCCCTGGTCCCCGCTCACTCGCTGGGCGTGGGGACGTCCACATCCTGCAGCTTCTTCTCCAGCTCCCGCACGGTCTCCTGCGACATGATGGTCCCCTCCCAGCGAGGCTCCGGGGGTCTCGGCATCGGTTTCTCGCCCCCGCTCGGCCCGCTCGGCCGCGTCCTCCCGCTCGGCCTGCTCCTCCTCCTCCACCTTCTCACTCAGCACCTCCATCCCGGGGACTCTGTGCTGGGACAAACGTGCCCACCACGGTCGAGCGTCAGCCTGGGGGCTGGCAGGACCCAGGATGCCGGGGGTTCAGGCCCACCGAGAAGGCGCCAGCCCCCGGACACTGAGTCCAGTCTCCCTGGGCCCAGAGCGCAGGCCAGCTGGGCGCTGGGGGGTGGGGGTGGGCTGGCTGGTCGCAAAGCCCCCTCTGGGCATTCGGGTCCGGCAGTGAATTGGAATAAAAGCCTTTGTTGGCAATAGTAAAAGGAGGTGAAGTTCGCAGAAAGGAGAGAGGGGTTGGCGCCGTCGGACCGTGGGCAGGACGCTGCTTCGCACGCCATCACCCTGGTTCGATCCCCGTTGGGTCCCCCCAGGACCGCCAGGAAGGATTCCTGAGCACTGAGCCAGGAGTCAGCCCTGAGCACTGCAGGTGTGCCCCCAACAAGTCACCCCTGCCTTTCCCAAAGGAGAAGAAAGATGGGGCGGGGATGAGGGTGAGAGAGGAGGAAATGGGGAGGAGGAGGAGGGGGGGGGAAGAGAGGGGAGGGGCAGGAGGAGGGGGAGGGGGAGGAGGAAGAGGGGAGGAGGGGGAGGGGGAAGAGGGGAGGAGGGGGAGGGAGAGGAGGAAGAGGGGGAGGGGAAGGAGGAGGGGAGGAGGGGGAAAAGGGGAGGAGGGAATAGGGAGGATGGGGAGGGGAAGGGGGAGGAGAGGAGGAAAGGAAGGAGGAGGGGAGGGAGGAAAGGGGGGAAGAGGAAGAGAGGAAGAGGAGGGGAGGTAGGGAGGGGCAGTGGGATCAGGCAGGGGCTGCCACTACCACAGCACCGGGACAAGGGGCAGCAGGGGTGGGGGACAGTCAGCCCCCAGGCCCGAGGTCAGTTTGGGGGCGGCCCAGAGAAGCCTCTGATGGTGAGAGGGTGGGGAGCGGGTTACCAGCTCCCCAAGGCTGACCACGCGGATACTCGGCCAGTGCCCGGCCGAGCCGGATCCTGGCTGCCCTCGTGGGCTGCAGGTGCCCCGGAGCGTGAGGGGAGGCATGGAGGAGCCTCCGGAGGGTGGGAGGGGGCTCTCACCACCGGAACAGGGACACAGGGTGGGCTGGGCGCCCCAGAGCCAGGGGATGACCACCAAGGAGACCAGGTGACTGCAGAGCTGAGCGCCCAGAGCCCACCCACTGGGGAAACTTGGGGAGACTCGACCTCACATTCGCAGGCAGGGTCGGGTGCTGGCACCCACGGCTCCGCACCTTCCCGGGACCAGCCTGCCCACGCCACTGCACAGCCAGCCTGCCCTGTGAACGCCCCACCACCCACATCTGTTCTCTTACAGCAAACAGGGCAAAGACCAGCAGAACCAGCCCTGTGGACGGCAGAGGGTGAGGAGGGTCCCCAAGGCAGCGGAGACAAAGACGGGGCCACCCCAGATTCTCACCGACCCCTGGTGCAGATGGGGTGGGAGCAAGAGGACCAAAGGGCCCCAGAGCAAAGGCTGGGCCCCTGGGCGCCCGCCCCGGCTCTGTCTGGCCCCCGGGGAAGGGCGCTGAGCTCTGTCTCGGCCGGGACTCTGGAAGCTCCCACCCCTTCCCGGGGCCTCAGTTTCCACCCTGTTAGAGGAAACGACGACACGTGAGTCTTAGCGGAACAATCTTGCTCTTGGAGGCCAAGACCCCAGGGATCCCTGCAGACCCTGCCGGGCCCCTCACTTCTCTGTGGACAGGCCTCATACCTTGGGGTCCGAGCAGCACCCCCTAAGCTGGAGGAGAGGCTGGGGAGGGGGGCAGAAACCGGGGTTCCACCTCGGCACCCAGGGAGCAGGCGGCAGCACCGCCAGGCAGGCCCCAGGCTAACAACAACAACAATAACAACTCCCATGCTTGCAGCCGAGGAAGCACAGCCCAGCGCCCAGACCCCCTGCCTGCCGCGGGCCAGAGAGGCTGCCCCGAGAGAGGCCACACTGACCGCTGCAAGGCACCCGCGGTTTCCCCAGCCTCTGCTCCCCGACACTGCTGACACTTTCACAGGGACCATCGTGTTTGCCCTCTGTGACGCCCACTCGGCAGGAGGCGACGGAGGCGGGGGAAGGAGACTCAACCCCAGGGCGAGCGCACAGGGTGGCAGCACCTCAGTGTGGCTCTGAGCCCTGCTACTGGTGTGTGTGGGCGATACCGGAGCATGGGGACAGGCACGGCCACCAGGAAGAGGCGGGGCCCCTGAAGGCTGGGGACGGCTCTCACCCCCAGCTCCCACCCCTGACAGAGACCCTCGCACCTACCCTGCAGCACCTCCTGCTCCCCAGCACAAGGCGAGGTGCCTGGCACACACACTCACACTCACACACGCACACACACTCGTAAACTCTCATGTACACACACTCACACACTCACACGTACACTCCTGCACTCACATGTACATACATTCACGTACACATATGTACACTCACTTTCACAACACGCATACACCCATACGGACACACAGATGTACACATACTCATAAACTCTCAAGTATATACACATTCATACATATGCACACTCATGTACACACAGGCACGCTCACTTTCACAATACTCCTACACTTACATGAACACGCAGGTGTACACACACTCATATACTCCCTTTCACGCACACACACTCACATGTACACACATCCACATGTACACACATTCATACACTCCCTTTCTCATACACTCACATGTACACACACGTACACACAATATATGCACTCAGTTTCACATACACTCATACACTCACACACACAGCACATATACACACTCATACACTCACATGTACTCACACACTCATACGTTGACATACTGTCACACACACTCATACACACATGCTCTCACACACTCATGCAAACTCGCATATACACGCACATATACGCAATCACACACACACACCCATATATACTCTCTCATACTCGCCACATGCTCATATGCACTCACACACACATCCACATACACTCATATACTCACATGCACACTCATATATTCACACATACTCACACACATTCACACAACACAACCACACTTGCACACATACACTCACACATACACAAGAACACACACTCACATGTACACATATTCTCACACACACTCAACAACACAAACCACTGTGTGTACACACTCATGCACACACAAGAATACACTCATACACTCACAAACACACACAGCACATACCACACATGCCCGCACGCACACACTCACATACATGCATCACTACACATGTGTGCACAGTCTCACATACACCTTCTCAGCACACACCATGTGTGTATACACTCACTCTCACAGCACTTGTCCTTTCACACCCTCACACACGCACACTCTCACACTCACACCTAGAGACACACACCCCATACACCCGGACACCCCTCTACACATTCATGCACTCACACACTCCCGTATACACGCGCTCACATAGACACATACAAGCAAATACACACTAACACAGATACCCCCAGAAAGAGAAGAGCCGGAAGCCCCTTACCAACAGCACCCCACTCTCCTTCTGCCAGACAGGGTTGAGGACCCCCGCACCCCACCCCTCGTCCCTGATGCCCCCTCACCTCTCTCTGGACAGTAGTTACCCTGTAGTCTGGACTGTTACCCTGTCTCCATGGCAACAGCGTCAGCATGGAGGGCCTCTGGGGAGAGGAGACTTCTGGGAAATGTAGTCTTCTCTCAGTTTGTCTGGGCCCAGAAGACCCCAGGCTCCTCGGGGTCCCTTGGCCGGCAGTGAGCTGGAACCGGCTTGGACCAGCTAGAAAAAGCTGATTCTTGAAATTTTAGGAATGTTTGTAAGTCAGTTGAAGAGCAGACATTATTACAAATGAAGTTTGACAGACACGTAATAAGAAATGGAACATAAACACGCGAAGCCTTCCTCCCAAGGCCTTTCACACACTTCTGTTCTGTTGCAGGCCCTCGGGGTCATTTGTGTGACGGGAGGAGTCTGAGGGGGAGTCCCTCAGCTTCTCCTCCCAGCCGGTGTCCAAGGGTGTCCCCTGGCTGCCCCGCAGTGGGCCGGGGCTCATGACATCTGGGAACTGGCCAGCGCCACGCAGCAAGGCTTTCCCGCACCGCAGGGACGTTCCTGGACGCTGTCACCTCTGGTCCCGCCGGACAGTGTGGCCTTGACCCTGGCACAACCCGGGCATGGGCACTGTTTGAAGTCCTGGGGCTGGTTCAGGCACTAACTCAAGGGACAGGGAATCGTACCAGGAGAGGGTGAGTGAACCCCAGGGACCCTGATTGTAAGTCTTTTAGATTCCGGGGGGAAATGAGTAGACAACAACGAATGTCTCAGCCCTTCTGGATTAGTTTTGTACCTGGGCATTTGGAAATAATCACTTTCTTTTTCCTTCCTTCCTTCCTTCCTTCCTTCCTTCCTTCCTTCCTTCCATCCTTCTTTCCTTTCTGTCTATGTCTTTCTCTTTCTTTCTTTCTTTCTTTCTTTCGTTCTTTCTTTTTTCTCTCCCTTTCCTTCCTTCCTTTCTTCTTCCTTCCTCCCTTTCTTTCTCTTCTTCCCTTCCTTCCTTCTTTCCTTCCTTCCCTCTTTCTTTCTTTCTTTCTTTCTCTCTTTCTCCTTCCTTCCTTCCTTCCTTCCTTCCTTCCTTCCTTCCTTCCTTCCTTCTTCCCTCCCTTCCTTCCCTCTCTTTCTTTCTCTCTCTCCTTCCTTGCTTCCTTTTCTCTCTCTCTCTTTCTTTCTTTCTTTCTTTCTTTCTTTCTTTCTTTCTTTCTTATTACACCATGCAATATTAAGGGCTTGCTCCTGGCTCTGTGCTCAGGTCACTCCTGGCAGTGCTCAAGGGACCATATGGGGTGTTGGGCATTAAACCCGAGTTGGCTGCACGAAAAGAAGAGCCCTACCTGCCCTACCAGCCCTATCTCTCCAGCCACAGAAATGATTCCTTTTACTGTTGGGGGGAAGAGGGCAGCCGCCCACCCCCAAAAGCCTGATACAGGCGAGCCCAGGTTTATGGAGCTGCTGTTTCTGGCAGGAATGGAGGGGTTT